ATTCTCGCAGGCACTGCATTTCAGAAATATATTGAATTCCATCTTCAAAGCGGACGGGTATTTGCCTGGAGAGGAAGGCTGCTGCAGAGCCCCGTTTCTGAACGCAACCCCTCCGGGGTCGTGGCGTGTTTCACAGAGGTCATGAGCTCACTGGAAAAGAGATCACCGACATGGAGCTTGGGCTGGATGTCGTGTAACCATCAGGAACTCATGAGCCTGCTTCTAGTTTCCCTCCCAATTCAGTGTCCTTGATCGCACGTGTATTGCCTTCGTGCCTTTTGAGAAGGGAAACGTAGCATGTATGCTTTAGTAGCTACCCATTGTTTGTTTACTTTTTATTGCCTGCTTGCCTTAAAATGATCCCAGAGTGTTCTGTAGTTCTAAGGCTCCTTCACAGGACAGCCTTAAAGTTACCACATAAATCACAGCTCTCCTCACTCTATACACACAGACAGGGAGCAATAAAGAAGCTATAAAAGGAAATTTGGCACTTTTTCAGCTTATCATCTAAGTGTAACGTGGTTGTTCTTTAGACAGGAAAGTGCCTGGCCTCTTGCCTATATGATTCACCTCGAAGAGGAGAGAGATGGGTCTTTAGGGTGGAAAAATTCTGCAAAATTAAGAGTGAATGGCACAGAGATGTCTATTGGCCCAGCTGCCAGGTCTACGTTTCACCCTGGCTCACCCTGGCACAGAGAGGAAAAACATGTCTTTCCTCTCTGTGGTACCGGGTGAAGGAAAGAGTCCAGAGCAGCAGGGACACTGATTTACAGCCCGGCTGTGTTCACTTTGGGGACATGATCAAAGCATCCTGCGATCCCCCACCGGAGCGATGGGAAGAAACGGCCGACTGGCTATCTGCTTGGCATGTCCAGCTCTAGCATGGGGCCAAGGCAAGCTGCTTTGTTTTCATGGACCAGAGCTTCTCAGAGTGGCAGCTGAGGGGAAGTGACTGAAAACTAATTCTCAATTAAGTTGGGGAACCAGTAGGTGGGAAGTTCCACTCAGGCCAAAGGCCCATAACCTTGTCTAGAGGTGGCCTTGCGTTGGAGAAATAAAAAGGTGCCAGATGTCCTGTGCCCACAGTTCCTGCTGTGCCCTAGAAGAGGTCCTGACCTCTGAAAACTTGTGCTACTCTCCCAGTGACGGCTGAAGAACCCATTGGGAGACCCACTTACCAGAACATATGCAGGTCTCCCACCAGATGTGTAAAACACATGGGATGCAGCCCACAATCCCTCTGCCTTGGGACACGGTGCCAGGAGATAGCCTCATGTGGTTACGTGATACACATGCACCCTTCAAGGGCCACAAGTTACAAGCCAAGGCGGAGCTCAGAGCAATGACTGTGCTCTCCTCCCTCCTCGGTCTCAGCACGGAGACTGAGAACATCTCCAGAGACACTGGCAGGCTGGTGTCTTGGAGTAGAGGCATAAGGTTTGCTGCATGCTCTGCACTTTCTGGGGCGTGGGGCAGAAGGGTTTCTTTGAGATCTGAGGGTAGGGCCCAACATTTGTATGCAACTGAACAGCCAACAGTATGTGGTACGATGCACAAACTCCTCACAGACACCAGTGATGGCTGGACTCAGCAAGCCTGGCTCACCTCTTGACACATACTTGCAAAAAGAAGGAATGTTCCCCTTAATGAGCAAACAGGAAAACCGGCTAAAGTGACCCTTGTGAGGTCAACCCCTCTCTCTCCCCACAACCCCAGCATCTACTCCATCATAACACCGTGCTGCATGTGTTGCATTATTTCACCTTTGGGAAGATCTTGAGGGGAAGGAAAAGAAGTGTCTTTGTGGAGACGTCACGTAGCTTGCCACCAAAGCAGCAGCTCAGCCGCTTGATGCCTGCACCGGACTGGCACAGCCCTGGGAGCACGTGGGCTACGTAAGAATACCGGGTCCCCTCCCTGGGGAAGGCTGCCAAGAAAGCTTGATTAATGCTCAGCAAGGTGATTGACCTCCCATGGTGAGCCTGGGCAGGGCGTGGTTGGTGTGAAAAGAGGTTGTGATTTCAGGGTATAAAAGAACAGTACGGGAAATACGGGAACGAAGGATTTTGGGCGGGATGAACCATTGCACTCTCTCTTGGAAAGGAGCAGGGGTTGAGGAGTAATGAGCCTGGAGAAGGCAATGTCTGCGGGGGAGGAGGGTGATGAAAGAAAAGATGAAGTTAGAAGTCCCACTGAAGGGTGAGCCTACCTGAGGTTGAAGGCTTGGGAATTTGCTGGGGCTCAGGCATGGGGGAGCATGCCTGGCCAGAGCTTTGTGAGAGCACCCAGGAGGTTTCAGGGAGCTCTGGTGGGACAGCTCAGGGGGCAGAAACTGCTCTGACAGCCACATTAACATCCCAAAGGGGAGTCATCATCCCTCTGTGCCCAAAGGGATCTCCCTGGGTCACCAAAATGATGTACCTGGACAGCAGGGACTCCGGGGAGGTCAGTCCCTGTAGTAAATACCCTTTGCGCATACATGAGATGACAGTGGCTCTTCTGGACAGGAATACCTTATACTTATGGGCCTGTCCTGCTAGGATACCTGATAGGTTGACCTATCTGTGATTCCTCAGGTTCAAGATCTAGAAAATACAGCAAACTGGGTCACCTCACCTCAGCCTCTTAGCTCTAATCCTTCACATTTTTACCACGCTGCCTACCAAGGCAGCTAGCTCTTAACCTGCACAGGGTCTTGCTCCGTGAGGGCTGCTCTCACCACAGCAACCACAACGTGAGGCCTAAGACACAACGTGAGGCCTGAGACACAACGTGAGGCCTGAGACATAACGTGTGGCCTGAGACACAATGTGAGGCCTGAGACACAACGTGAGGCCTGAGACACAACATGAGGCCTGATCCACCTGCAGGACCTCCCTTCCCCGCTGTCACCGCCAGGCTGACGGAAGCGGTGGAAACGCTACGCCCATGCGTGGTCTTGACCCCTGGCACAACGTTGTTGCCGTTTCCACTTTTATTCAGTATGGTTTCCTGCATAAATGGCTCAATTCTCCTCTCCTGAGCCTCTGTAAATATTATTTCAAGGGTTCCGTTTAAATTGTATAAACAATCACCCGTTTTCGACTTTCACACAATATTTTTGTCGCCCTTTAATATGCAGATATATCTTCATGGCCCTGACTAAGTTAACATTCTCCTCCAGTGGTTCCCACTTCTGTGCTGCTTTATTTACCTCTTAAGCAACAGGTTATTGCCTTTCACTCATGGCCTTGAATTTCTCGTATCCCAAATAATTTCATGGGATTTTAGTTGTAGCAATGACCGAGGGATTCTCGCAGCATTGGAGGTCTGTGCCTGACTTTCATAGATACCAAGGATTTTATTCAAAAATCTCATTTTGCCAAGGTTTTCGTATTTGAAGAACTAAAGCTCTGAGTCTTAATATTTTATATTACCATGGGACGTAAGTGACTGAGGAGAGATCTTCTTTTGGGTGCCTGAAAGTTTGTCTTTTTTTCCAAAGTGTGTGATTTGGTCCAAGTAAAAGAGATGCGTTCTCTCTGTTACTTTTTATTTATTTATATCATTTTATCTACCAGTAGCTAGAACACAAACATGTGAGACTGTAAATGTGAAGTGCTGGGGTGAGGCAGCAGAAGCAGTCACCCCATCTTTATTTAAGAATTTAGTGCAACCATAAAAAGACATTCCTGATAAAATACTGGAAGTAAAATCTTCAATTGCTGCATCGTCATCATAAAGACACCGAGAAATCTCTGAGAAGCAAGAACAAAAGAGAGTCTCGGAGGCCTCCAAATTTTGCCGACGTACTGCTACTGCTATCTTTTCTGTACATATTAGCTGCCAGCCTGTCTTGAGCAACCTCCCTGAAGCAAGCAACAGACAAGTGTAGCAGCCACAGGCTGTTTTTCCCCTGCTCTTGTCTTCTGCCTGAGGAACTTTGCTCCCTCAGCAAATCCTGACAAAGTATATGGCACTTGAATGAACAGCTTTAACTGTAAACACGGAGCAGGACCAAAGGTGAGATAAACAGGAGGCTGTGAAAAGCAAGCAGCATAACCCAGCAGCTCTCAATGATCCGGGAACAAGGGGCAGAGCTGACGTCCAAGAATTGGACTGAGGCTGATGTTTGCTTGCCCCTGAGATCACAGGACGCTGTTATGAGGACCCTTTCAATGGGGATCCTGTAGGAAATTTGCTGGCTGTTAACAGCAAGGTGGAAGGGAAGAGCAAATTGAACACCGTGGCTTAGACCACTGCTTGACCCTTTGCAAGTGAAGAGGGGTGGCAAGGTCCGGGCAGAAAGTCCAGAATTACTACGAGGGGGTTAGCAGGTGACACATGCTTGGAGAGCTGCATCCCACCCCACTGCAGACATGCCATCAATCATGGTGGTGAAGCTGCTTCTGCCCGATGTTGTTACTTACCTTCATACCCCACCCAGCAGGGCCACGGCTGAAACCCGTGTCTGCAGGCAATGCTGGCTGGAATGTTTTTAAACATAGCTTTTCCTTCTAAAAGATGTTTTGATTAAATGCATCGTTTTAAATAACAAGATATTGATGTCAATGGAAATTTCCCCTGGCAAAATATGTCAGTATGGGCGTCTTCTTTGTTTTGTGTTGAGAAATACATTTTCATGAACTTATAAAATTCAAAATTGTATCCCAATTTTTATTGTACTTCTCTTTTACTACATGGCAGCACCTCAACATGCACATCACTATATAAAAGACTTGAAATATTGGAGTTTTATTTCCTTTCTTAAATCATGATGGACAGCTGTTATTTAGTACTAATTAAAAACCTTATCTTTTTTTCACAGATCAAAGTGTCTCCTGTTTGTTTTGTAATGAAGCAGTTTAACACTTTTTGTGTTTGACTTTTTGTCAGACTGTTTTGTTACAAAACAAATAAAAGTCACTTTGATCTGTAAAGAAAGATAAGATTTTTTAATTAGTACTATATAACAGCTGCTCCTAATTGCATTTATAAATAAAAGAATGGAACGCTTCAAATCTCTTGCCATATTACGCACTACACTTTATTCTAAAACAGCCAGTAATCATGATAAAACACAGAAAGGGCATGAACTAGGATTTCTGACTGGTGCTTTGAAATTCTGGAATGTAAATGAAATACTAAAGGTGTAACTCAAAATCCCAAACTGGAGACTGTTGGAAATTCCACTTTGCATGAAAATTGCAAAAATAATTGATTTGGCTTGTGAATACCTTTGAGAATTTCTCTTCCTTTGGAAAAGTTGAGGGTGTCTCCCTGAAAAACAGCAGGCAAGGACTAAGGAGAGCCTACATCATTGGCCCCATTTCTCAGCATGTTAGGACTATCCACAGCCTTGGTGCTTCCCCCACTCCTCATCGCTTCTAGACACTGAAATAGCCACATCTGTTAGATTTGTATCTTCTACTCTGTATGAACACTGCCTAGAGCAGTGGAGTCCCATTCTTGGCTGGCACCTAACCACACTGCACATGAATAGCAATAATGCATCTTTTGGCAAGGAGACAACATCTCTTCCCTTCGGGTTCAGATTCTGATGCAGTGTTTCCAGAGACCCCAGGTTTCTTCCCTCTTATTCCAGTGCAGACTTCAAGCACCAGAGCCTTTGGTTCTCCACACCTTCTCCGTACCAAATTTTAGGCCAAATCCAGACTTTCGGTCCTCCTCTCCAAACCAACTCACAGGCTGGGCACCATCTGCCTCAGGGAACTGCCTGATGCTCTCTGATCACAGCCTCTCAGAACAGCAGTGATTCACCAGAAAATCTCAGTCTCAAGGGGAATGCCGACGTCTGCATCAGACGGGCACCTTCCCTGCTGCTGACTCGTACCCATGGAGTTTGCCCCTGCAGAGAGCCTGATAAAGGGCTACCCGCTTTCACATCTCCCAAGGCCAAAGGCACGTCTCAGTTGCACCCAGCTCACCAGAATAATGCCAGGCACACCACATACAGCCCTGAGCTGCCAGGAGAGCCCAGGATGGTGGTCTGTCCTGCGTGATGCTCCACTGCTCCAAAGGTCCCCTTCAGGACAGCTGAAGGATCTGTTCCAGATTAAAGGATGTGTTTGTGGAGGGGAGGGATGGAAAGGGAAAACAGACGTGCCTCTCCAAGCAGCCCGTCTCTGCCAGCAGCCGGCACCACGTGCTTCATGGGAGGTAGAAAACCCTCGCGGTGGACAGTTATGCAATAGTCTTCCTAGTCTAGCTCACAGCAATTATTGTCATGAAATATGAAGATTTATAACCCTTGTAGGTTTTTATCCCAGCTGGTGTAGGGGTGGATGATATTTTTATTGCTCCTGTATGGAAAATGTGAGAGTAATATCTTCCAAAGCTCTTGGCCTCAGTAGTATTTTCGAACAATGAATTCCACAGGTTGCATACTGTGTAAAACAGTGTGTTTCTTTGTTAGTATTTCACATGCAATATTGTAAGCCATAAGCTTTTTCTTTCACATTCTGGTATTTTAATAAAAGATAAATAACAGGGTCTCATGTGCCTTCTCCCTGTCATTCTTCTTTTCATTCCTATATCACATCTCTCTTACCAAATTAATGCTCCTAATCTTTTCTTTGTGAAACCTTTCTAGGTCTCCTAATAATTTGCATCATCTATCTTTAGGTACCTTCTATTTCTGAATAGAAAAGTGACAAAATCTGAGCACATCATTTCAAATATAGACAGAATTCTGATTCACAGAAAGGCATTATCATACAACCTTTTCAGTACTAGCTAGCTATTGTGAGTGCTTTTGCTCAAGGAGCCTGAAAAAGACCTTGATGTTTTCCTGAGCAAGAAATAATTAATTTAGGTCTGTCCTGTTACATAAGTAGTTTAAATTGGTCTTTCATGTTCCATTACCTTGTACTTACCTACACTGAAATTAAACTGCTGGCTGCTTACTCTGGTGCTCCTCATGCTCTCCCCTCTTTGTGTCCTCCAAGCAACATGTCCCCCTGGAGCTGGGGGTCAGTGTTGAGTCCTGCAAAACCAATACTCAGGGTCCAGAGAAGAGCAGCAGGTGCCTTGCAGCCCTCTGGCAACCTTGCACCTAAGTGCGGTGGGTAACAGTTATGTCTTAGCCAACCTCCATCTGCTGCTAGTGGTGAAACAGCTGCTGAGCGCTGCTCCTACACCACGAGCAGGTCTGCAGGAAAGGTGATGTGAGGTGAGGCCACAATCATTGGTTGCTGCCTGAGTAGTCAGATCCTTAAAACTTCATGCCTACAGAAATCCTCAGGCAATTTATTCCAGCTTCCTGCTTAATATCTGCTTACTACCAACTGTAACACTTCTGCCAGCCATCTCTTCCTCAAGTCTTTGAGATTGCTGAGCAAGATAAAGCATCTGTCTCAGAAAGTCAGCCAAACTCAAGAGTTGAGTTGCAAGGCTAGGTGGTCCCCCACCATTGCTAGTGGTTACTTGCTCAAAAAAAAACACTTTTACTTTCTCTTGTCTGACCCTGCCTGGCACCTGTGACAAAACACTAGTTCTCCTCCTTCCCTTACTTTGAAAATCCATACCAGGACTCAACAGCTACAGCTAGGCAAGGGAAGCATATGGTGCACACAGTTAAGAGAGCAAACAAGCATTAATTATGACCATTTTGAACATCACTCTACTTCATATTTTGTCCATGGACCAAAGTAGAATTTGCCACATAAAGCTTTCTCCATATCTTGGCCCGCACCTTGTGCAATTGCTTGTGGGGCGGCTCATCTCTTTATGTTTGCTGTTTGTTTTTAACTGTGTTCAGCAACACAGCACAGGATGAAGAAGTTTGATCAGCAAGGCTGAGATGGGTGGAAAGTGAGCTCGCTGAACCTGGATCATGGAAGCTCCATGCACTCTTTGCAGTGGCAAGAGCAGAGTTTGGAAGATAACCAGGCAAGGACCTATACCTCACCTAGATTTATCTCTTGGTAATAATTCTTGCTGCCTTTAGAGGGGTATGATTAGAGCTGTTTATATAGACTTGGCCAAATCCTCAGTAGCTATAAATCAGAATAGCTCCAATTAATTAAATGAAACTGTCAACTGACACCAAATAAGCATCAAGTTTTTAGTATGTTCTCGAATTCAACCAGATCACCCCCTTTCCATAAATACCTGGTTGGCAGTTTCCCCTCCAGAATTCCTGCAGACCCTTCCTCCTGGAATCCAGCAGACTCCATGTCCTCACTGTCTCGCTGGGCATAAGGTAACATCTGAATGTTAGAACCATAAATAAAAGAAGCACAGGTTGTTGTTTTTTTTACTACAGATTTCTATTAGCAAGTCAAAGCAACAGCTTGGAATGGTGGAGGCACAAACCTAAAGAATTTGTGGTATTTGTAAGAAATGCAGATAGTAGAGGATTTGACTTATTTCCAAATACTACAGCAACTGTTCCTTTAATGCATAGTGTTCTGCTCAGCCTATTGCGTTGCCTGCAATAGAAGTTTATTTATGGATGGCCTGAGGCAACTACACAAACCTTCTTGTAAGAAGTTCTTGCTCCATAAGGTAAATCATTGTTCCTCTAAACCACCTTTCACCAGCAGATTTCTGTGCACTTTGCAAACAGCGACTTAGGCATCAGGGAAATCCTCTGTGAGGCAATTAATTGGTGTTGCTGTACTAAGAGAGAGATTCAGTAAGTTGCTCTAGGTCAGCAGGAAAGGCAGGAATTAAACTCTAAACTCTACCAGCCCACTTTTCACTTCCAGACTCTGGTCAATTTCCCACACCTGGAACTAGAAGTCAAAACCTGACTCCCATCACCAGATGCAACTGTTAAACTGCAACTCTATTCGTTGGCAGAAAAGTACCTCTCAAGCCCCTAGTCCACACTGTAAACCCAACACTGTTTCTATAAAGTAACCCACAAAGACTCCTCCATTTGCTTTAAAAAGATAAAAAATCAAGTTTTATCTCCTTATTCTTTGGTGAAGAGCAGCTCATTTCGGTTTGCTTTGGAAGTCTCCAGTAAGGACTCTTGAGGACAGGAAGAAGCCTAAATTCTCAGTGGGAGTCTGTTCAGCTATCCTGCCTGGAAAAAAAACTTGGATAAAATATTTACAGTTCAATCCAAATCTCTGCTAAGTTTCTAATGAAGAGGTTTCAGATCAGTTCCTTATTTTAAAATGGTGATTCTCATTCCAGGTGACTTCACCTTTGCCTGTTTTTTGCTTTACTATTCTCTACATCACATCAATATTTTTGTGATTTTTTTTCTCCTGTCCATCAGATTATATCCCCCATGTACTGACTTTTACCAGGTTTAATCTCACCTCCTCCTACCTTTTTTATCCATTTTTTTTCTGTTTTTTTTTCTTAAAGTTCAGTCTGAAGTCAAAGTCAACTCTTGCCTGACTTCAGGTTATCCAGATATTTAGTCTTTTTTTGTCTCCCCTAATCCTGTTTACTGCACTTTTCTTTTCCTCAACACTCCTCAGCAAAGATCCATGTGAAATTAGCTGTGCCTGTTCTTTGAGGTGTAGGAGTATTTTGCACTTTCCCTAAGTCCATATCCTGGCCACATTCTGGTTTCCTCTGGTTTCACTCTCCACTCTACCCACATCTTAGTTTCCACAAGAATGAAACCAAGTTGCCTGCTCAGGAAGACACATCTCAGCCACATCAATGCTCTGGGAGCTCAAAGGTTATAGAACCAGAAGCTGTACCATGGCAGACATCCATCCATAGTGTAAACAGGACTGTACCTAAACAATGTTGTATAGACTAACTTCCACCTCTTCAAGTATCTATACTCTGTCTTCTCACAATAACTTCAACCAGACATGACACCTGAAAAGTGCTCAGCACCTCTAAACTTAAGATCAGAGAGCTGCTGAGCCAAGCGATGGAAGAGAAAAGAGAAGGCCCCCACAACCAAAAATAGGTACGAAGACGGAGTCTATAATCACATAGCAGGTTGGCATTAGATTAGGTACAGAACCAGGTCTCCTGATTGTCCCCACTGGTGCCCTCACCACAGACTATATGACATTTCTCTCTCTTCACTCCCTTCTCATCCCTCTCCATCCCCCCCAAGCCACTCCTCTCCTTTTATTTTAAGAGCTGACTCTGCCATTTCCCATCTATAAGGTGACATATGAAAACTTTCTTAGAAAACAGTCATAAAAAGAAGAAGAAAATGAAAAAGAAAGACCCAATGGAGAGCAGAAAATTACAGTGTCTGGGCCGTATTTACAATAATTATAATTATTATAAAGCACAATAGGGTGTAGAAACCCATAATTCTCCTGGTGCTTTCTGATTTTTAGATCTATGTTTAGAAAGCACACGCCAGAGAAACAGTCAGAAAAGGAATGTCATGAAGTCACTTTCCTCTCTATGTTGCAAAAGCATTGGGGGGAATATTTGTGTCTGCAGGAACATGGGGACAAGCAGCTTCAGAAATGTGTCCATCATTGCCTGTCCCAGTGTGACGTGCCACCTGCTAGGCTGAAAAATGAAGCTGTCTCCTAACACCGCTTCACAAGCAGAGGCCCTCTTTTCCCTAAAGGTCCATGTGTCACTTTCTAGGACCACGCAGTTCTCCCAGTTCTGACACTTTGGTGACTCCTACCCAAACGTCAGACTCCACACAAGCAGACATGGCCCCCAGCCCACAATAGTGCAAACTCAGAGTTAATCCCTTGCATGACCATATCACAGTGGGATCTCGAGACCTCCTAGTAGTGCCCAAGGCAGCCTGACTAACATCTGCCCCCTGGGACTCATTCTTTCCTCATTCCTCTTACACATACAATGCAGGTGGTTTATTTAGCTCACCGGGTTTCATAGCCAGAGAAAGCAGCTTGAGGTGCCCTCACGTGTAAGGCAGGAGGTGGGAAGGCTTGCAATGGTCCTTCCCTCCTGCAGATGGTTATCTAGCCCATTAAAAAACTCTCCTCCCTGCACAGAGGAGCTTTGCCCATTTGACAGTAAACTCTGTTGCTTATATGCAGCAGGCATCTGCAGCTTCATTCCTAAATCCTGTGCAATCTCCTCAAGGAAATAGTCCTGAGACCTGCAATTTTAATCAGACATCTTTCGTAAAGATAAATGCTCATATTCCTACCTAATCCTGCATGGCTGTCCACTTTGGAACCAAACCAGTTCATTCTGAGCTTCTCCCAGTCAGAGTGATGAAACCTGTGTCTCCCAAACGAAAGAGAAAGGACTCCCTGCACAGTTCAGTGTGTCCAGAGTAGTCTGTGCTGTCAGAGGTTGTGTGCTCCAGCATCCAGCACAAACTGGATTAGGTTCACCCGCACAAATCTCCCTACTCCTTCCTGCTTCAGGTTTGGACTCTGCCCTCCGTGCCCTGACTCCTGAGCTCTGCTGCTCTGTTTTCCTACGCAGCACATGTTCCAGCCGCTATGATATGAACCAGCATCCACAGCAGGGCCGCCTCACAGCCAGTAGCAAAACTGGTGTTTGAAGTGCTATGGGAGTGTCCACTTCTCATCCAGTGAGCTCGGGACACCTTTTTAGGTTGTTGGACTGGAAGCAACCAGGCCAGTTCTCTAATACATTGTGCCAACAGGCTTAGGGAACTTTTTAACCAGCAAAGTGGAAGGTGGATTAAAGGAATCTTCTCTGGAAGGAGCATTTTTGTAAAAACAGGCCTTTAGTTGTCTTTATTAATGCATGAAAGGGTGATAATAGTACCTGAATGTGAAAACCCACAATGAACTATGACTAGGAAACATGTCTGAGTAACAGGGCAAGGCTTAGTGACACACGGGTAAGTAGATAGGAAATAACGGGGACCAGCCATGAAGGAACAGACAGTCTGGGGGTTTGGGCAGAAGTGAATACACCCTTCCCTCAAGCACCAGTTGTGTTCAGGGGTAGGTATGAGGTGCAGTTTCATGCACTGAAGATGTATCTATGTATGAGCATAGAAGTACATGTGGATTTTTCTTCTAGTATTACACATTTCTGCCCAGATAAGGTGGAGCAGGACTGCATGCAGCATGAACATTCATAACCAGAAGAGAATAATTTTTGCAACATGTATGCCTATCTGAAAAAACATCCCAACCCTGCAGAAAAAGCCAAGCTCAAGCTCTTCACCTACAGTATAAAAGCCAAGGGACTGCTTTTAACCTAAAGTAGGGTGTTTTATATTCCTTCCCCCAGCATTCAATCTCTGTCTCAGGCCCAGCAGAGGAGGAAAATGGAGAAGCACCAAGGCACTTGGAGGCAGGAAGGAGGGAAGCACTGGGATTCTTCTCTACCCCTGCTGTTTCCTAAGGGGCAGGTGGGGAGTTTTGCATGGCAGCAGCTGAGTTCTCTCCCCAAGAGGTAGGAAGGTTGCCAAACCAGAGAAGTTTCCCCCAAGGAGGGCTGAGAGTCACACCTGGCCAGGTGTTCTTGCTCTGCCATGAGACCAGCTACCTCCCCACCTCAAATTAAACAGCCTGAAGTGGGGAGAAAGGGTGATCAGATAGACGCGCATACAGGTATCTCAGATATGCACCTGCCACTCAGCCAGCGCCAGGGAGACGCCGGGGAGAGAAGGAAATGTTTTCTTTCTCTAACATTTTTAGCATGGATAACAGAGTTCAAGCAGAGCGGAGGAGCCCAGCAATAATGGCTTCTGTTGCCTTGAGCTAAGCTGCTTAATTGCGTGGGGCTGGCTCCTCTGATCAGGGAGAAAGGTGAAGCACCTCGCTGCTCGTCCCAGATAACTTTCTTCGACCAAAAAAAGCCAGAGAGCACAACACCAAGTGACCCCCAACATCAGAAGTAGCTGAATGGGACAAAAAGAGTCCTGCTAATGTAATTCTGTGGGAATTAATGTGTGAGCAGGCATGTGCTGAAATGGTTTGCAGACCAGGCTGAACCTGAAGCCCAGCAGCCATGGTCCTCCCAGCTCTGTGGAAGCACAACATTCCTAATTCACCTCTTCTCCAGTTCATGCTTCAGGGCTCTGGGGAGCAGCAAGCAGCTCCTAAATGGTTCTTGGTATCTGAAGAAAACTCGGTCTGCTGAAACAGCTGAAATGAGGCTCTTTCTTCTACTCTGTCTCACAGTTCAGGGCCTTTTTCTTTCACCCTTGTCCTTCCCCTCCGTTGCAAGACCTTGGCTTGGTGTTTAAAGAACTTGCAATCATCATAAGATATAAAATGTTCTGCCAGGATGTAAAACTAAAGATCTTGATGTACCCCAAATAATCATGGGTAGCAGAATAGAGCTGCTCAGCAAGAAGGGCCTTAGCCTGGCCCAGTCTCTTTGCTTTTCCTGTCAACTCCCTTATCTCTGTAGCAAAACTGGATGACACAGGGTAGAGAATTGGCCAATGTCAAATCACGGATTGTACACAGAAGTGTCCCACAGCATATGGACCAGTGTTCACCCCAACAGTGCCCAGTCCCAACCATATTACCAGTGTCAACCCCAACATGTGCCTGCTTACGGCTCCAGAGCCTCATACCCTTCATTTGCCCAGCTACTAGCAGTGTCCCAAACCTGCATCTGCTCTCAGGGGGCTGCTGGCCAGCCACTGCTCATCTCCACATCCTCCCACCCTCATCCGCAGCCAGACCAGGCTTTTCTCCAAGGAACATGCCCTCCTGCACCCCTGTGGTGAAGGGGAATGTTGAGCTGGCTGTCTATGATGGGCCCAGGATGTGTCCACCACCACGTTGTGCTGGAGCCCTGCCTTGGAGGCAATATGGACCTGTGGCATAAGCACCGCCAGGCCTGGCTTCACATCCTACTGCTGCAACTCATCTGGCATGTGGCCCTGGGCAAACAAAGTGTCATTTCCTCCTCTCAGTCTCCCTGCCTATCTGTCTGGTCTAATTAGGTAAAAGCTTTCCAGGGTAGAGATCGCCTCTCCCTCAGCAGTGACACAGAGCAGCGGGGAGCACTTCTAGACACAATTAACGCTCAAGCAGAGCAGGCCTGCTGGATACGATGGTGTCAGCAGGAGCAGACGCCCCTGACGCAGGCTTTTATCTCGTCTCTGTTAAGGGGCAGCAAACATGGAGACCTTCTGTGGCTTGGTGAGGAAGCCAAGTCTCTCCCCTGGATAACTCCAAGTCTCTCCCCTGGTAGAGCAGCTCCATGTCTGGAGTATGCAAAGCAAAGCATTGCTTTTACAGGTGCTTCTCCCCTTCACACAGCCTTCAGGACTCACCTCAAGCACAGGGCAAAGGGTTTTTCTCAGGCTTTGGTGCTGTGAAAGGAAAGGCTTTGCTCGCTGGCTGGAGATAGCTGGAAGAGCCCTGGAAGCCAGCCTATCTCGCAGGTAGGAGCACACAGGCAGCAGGGAGAGAGTGACCCTGGCATGGCTGTTACAGGGGCTTAGGGCTGCTCGTCTGCGTCACGGTGGAGATAACATCAGCCTGCTGAAGGCGGCCTCGGGGCAGCCTAATTGCTCCTGCAGGAGAAGGAAAATGCCAGGCCCCAGAAACCTGGCTGGCTCTCAGCTCATTGCCAGGCCCTTGGCCTGCACTGGGGTTGTAAATCCCAGGGGAGAAGCTGCTGAGGAGGGACACAATGGGCAGACAGAATGAAGATGAGCTCCCTTCACACACCACCATGAGGGGTGCGTGGATGGAGCAGTACTGAAGGAGGAGGCTCGCTTCTCCATCACTTGCTCCTCCCCAGGAGGTGGGTGCAGGTGTGGGTGCTGTGCCAGGCCCAGCGGTCACCATCTCAGAAGAAAAGGGTGAGACCTCTGTGAGGGGGCCAGCAGAGAGCAGAGACAAGGGGTGTGATGGCTGCTAGGAGTTTAAACAAGGGTGCTGCAAAGGATCCGAAACCACACAAGTTCTCCCTCAGTCCTTTGCTACCCGTCTTCTTATTTCATTGCTGTTTTCCAGTGGATTTGAAGATGTTAAGAAGAGAATGTCATGAGACTGGCGCAGCTACAGACATTGCTAACCTCAAATGCAATCACCACAGAAAGCATTGCAGAATGGCAAACCCGAGGTGTGTGGACATACCAAACCCAGACTCTACTCAGTAAAAATCCACATGCTCAGGATGTTTCCGACATGGCTTATAAATAACACATTGGCCTTAAATATTCGGAAACCCACAGTTATGTCCTCTAGGAGTCAGGCCAAACAAAATAAGGGAACATTTCAAGACGATATAGGTCTATGCGTTTGAGAGCTGGATACTAAAAGTAGTGGTGGTAACAAATGTAGTGTACTCCATCTGCCCAGTGGATATACAAGAAACAAAGTGTGTGTCAGGTAGCAGCCCTGCTAAAATTGACACTGGAGGTGGCTCAAGCATGTGGGTTCTGGGTGTCTTCCCTCCCTTTGCTCCTGCGTGGAGTCTTCTCACCCTGAAGAGCCCAAAAAGCTTGGCTTGTGATCCTGGCAAGAAGCACGAGAGGGCCTGTCCACATTGACCAGGCCCCACGGAGCCCTGCCAACTGCAGGACGGGACTCTGCTTTGTGGAGCTTGCTCAGCAGCAAGAGCTCACACAGTCGCCCCAGCAAGCCCTTGAGCTCATTCACAAAACAGGAGCTCAGATCCCAGCAAACCCACACGCTCACCAAAAGGAGCCTGGAAATGATCTGAGGGAGAGCACAGATGGAAATCATTGTCATCAGGGAGGCCAAGAGCTTTGCAGGAAGCACGAAAGGATCAGATGTTTCAATGGATAAGAAAGAACATCCAGAGCTACACAAGATAGAATAACAATGTAGGAGATCGAAGCCCTTTGGCTCCAGGATACAGGCCAGCCCTGACTGACAGGGATTAAGAACTACACATCTGAACAGTTTATCTCATAATTACCTTCATCCATATTTCTTGCCCCTCTTCCCTGCACTGTCTGGCACTGGCCCCATCCCAGACACAACTGAGTGAGACCACTGGGAAGCCCCTCTGAGACAGGGTCTCTGCAGGGATGGCAGAAGAGGAAGGAGGCTCTGCAGAGGGGAGATGAGGAGACAAAGAGAGAAACCTCAACCACGGTAATCAACCAGAGCAATCCGCTTGCTCTCCCCCACATTCCCACTTTCTCCCTCACCATTTCTGCCAACAGAAGATATTGCCTAAGTAAAGCCCCAATGAAAGAACAGCCTGCTTTGGATATCTAGCAAGACAAGAAAAAAATAATAATAATTTACAGACCATCTGTCCTGTCCAAAGGAGAGCAATCTTTCCCAAACTGAGCTAATTCCATGCAACAGCAACAGTAAGCAACATGATATTAAACAATAATAAATCAAATCTGACATCATTTGGAGCGTGTCCGGTCCTTCTCCTGTGGGGGTATCACTCTTCTGTGTGTTGAAAGAGAGAAGAGAAAAGCAGAAAGAAACCTAATCTGAATCAGATAAAAGACAGAGAGCTGAGTACGGTGTTTCTGAGAGGGAAGACCCCTCCTAAAGTCTTGCTGTAGGCACCAAGAGGGAGGAACAGGAGGAGCAGGGGGGAAGGATGGGGCAGGATGACCTGCATATTCTGCAGCAGCCAACTTTCTAGACCAGCAAAGTCATCCTGACCTTTGGTGCAGGGGACTGGGACCACCCAGCCCCATCACAGCACACACATGCCTCCCAGAGCCCCTGCCTTCACAGAGCAGCCCCTTTTCCAAGGTGCCAAAAGGCTTCTCACCTTGGTCCAAACCAGCAAGCCCAAGAGCTCAGACGCACATGGAGAGCAGCAGGGCAGAAGGGAAGCTCTCACGGTGACTGGGCTGGAGGATGTGGTGGGAGTTTGGCAGTGACAGAGCATACAAAAACAGTGGTCTAAGGCCATGGGATGTCTTGGGAAGGCATCCCTGAGCCAGCTTTAAACTTGCTGGGCACCAGTGGCAGAGTACGGGTGGCAGCAGAGAGCTGGGCTTGGCCTAGGAGGGGTCTGCAGTCCGGCACCCTGGTGGCACACTGCCCCTGGTACCCATGCCAGCAAGTAGAAATCTAGGTTAAAACTCAGCCTAACACCCAATCTCATTAGAGTGTGTTTACCAAGCTCCGGTTCCACCTCTGGAATGCAGTACACGCATACCCTAGGGATGACTGGATTTATCTCTCTCTTTGTAAAGTACTACCAGAGATGTGACTGGGGAGAGTTTTCCTCCATGGCCAGTATTAGATCTGCATACTAGGCACTTCAAGGTAAATCCACTTTTTTCTTCTTCAGTGGAAGCAGGAAAATGAGGCTGTTTTCCCAGTGATGTACCAGCAAGGGACAGCAGTGTAAATGAGAGCACTGCAGCCATCCTTTCTGCTCACTGCACGCCCAGGTCAAGGCATTTATACCAAGACACACAGAAGCCCTCTCCCTCTAGCTTAGTGCTTCAAGGGCATGTCCAAGAAATTACCCAGCAGGCAAGGGAAAGTTGGCAGCTGGATACTGTTCAGAGAGTACAGCTTCACCCCAGAAGCTGACGTCCTCTGCACCTGTGCTACAGACACCACAGAACATGGGGCAACACAGTCCTTCTGCTACTCCAGCCTTTGTAGGAGGCTGCAGTCATCAGGGTGGATGGCTCTGAAGAAAGTGGAGTCCAAAGCACTGGAAGAGAAGTGACAGCTGAGCTTTGGACTGTGTCACTGACAAATACAGAAATCTGGGCTGGTGGGGACCATGGGCAGAGCTGGGGCACCCAGGCATAAGCTAGAAGGGAATTTAAAGGGCTTAAGGTGATGGGGTAAGGAATTATCTCTGGTACTTTGTTCTCCCATCTCCCTTTCCTCTGGCCATTTGCACTCCATTGTAGTGACTTGCTTCCAGTGATGCTGGAAGCTCTTCAGGACAGGGACTAATTCTCAAAAAATGCTGTGCAGCTCCAAGAACCAGGGAATTATGATCCACAACAATTCTCTCCGCTGCCATCGTGGCATTCGCCCAACAGTTCAGACACTGAGATGTGGATGTGGTAAAATAGATGGTCTACAGCAGAGAGGAGAAATTAGGTGCTTGATTTTCTTTCACTTTTAATGGGCTTCTTGTAGGTGTGCCACTGCTAATGAGCGTTGAGTCATGCTGGCCAGAGCTTTTTCTTGCACAACCTCTCCCTGCCTCCCCAGGCTGCTCTGGATCTGCCCTCTGATAGCACTATACCCAATGACTAGGGTAAGCACCACTGCCAGCAGCAGATTTCACGACCTATCTGCTGAGCTTTACCAGAACCAGGACCTGATAGTTTTGCTTGTGGTGGCTGTTTTCTTGGCCATTCCCCATGCCCACCCCTCCAAAACCCTCTGCAGCTGCCCTTTGGCAGCAAAGGACAAAGCCCCCCCAGGTGCACCCCAAGTGCAGCCCCATCCCACAGCCCAACACAGAGCCGTGCTGCTCCTCTCTGGCATCACCCACACCCCACCCCGGCTCACCAGCACCCGCAGCCCCGCTCCCTGCCCCTGAGCACAGGAGGAGCCGTCCCATCCACGCTTCCAGGGCCAAATGCTGCAGCTGCAGGTGAAACCGGCTCTTTCCCTCTGCCACGGGTCCTTTCCCACGCGGACACCTCGTGGCATCACACCAGCCCCCTTTGGCAGACACTAACCCCAGCAAGGATGGTGCCAGCTTGAGGCACAGATGCAAGCAGCCAGGAGTTTCACTACAAAGTGACCAGCTCCCATACAAGCTCCTTTTTTTTCCTTTTCCTTCCTATTTTTCTTCCAGGCTGTTGGAGTAGTCACACCCCGAGGCACTGTTCCCATCAGGACTTTCTTGATGACCTCTGTGTGCAGGAGAGAATGTCTCAAGCTGGTGCCTGAAACCTCTTATACCAGGACTGTGAGTCCAAAGACACTGTGTGAGTAGGCAGCGTTGCCCTGCTGATTCAGCTAAACGTGCTGGCACATCATGAAGAAAATCTGAAGTATTTCCACTGACTCACACAGGTCCAGAGCTCCTCTCAGCTCCATCCCTGGCTATGAGAGCGGGTAGAGCCTGCCTCTGAGTCTCAGTGCCTCAGGATTGCAATGGGTGGGAGAGGAAATCCCATATGGGGAGGCACTTGGACCCTTTCTAACACTCTGAGGGGAGCAGGGATCTTCCACCTTGCATCGTGTGCAGGCTGCAGGCACGCACGATGCAGTGCCTTATGCCAGTTTAGACTCATCTCTGAATCCGGCCTTCAGTCTCCGAGTGGCTCCGCATGCCAGGGCACTGTGTCCCAGCATTAAAAATACCAAGGCTGACAGATAGTGTTTATTAATAGCACGAGTGGTGTTTATTGCTGAGCAGCTCGGAGTTACTGCTGTTACGAGCCAAGGTCTGAGCGCGTTGCCACACTGCTCTGCTCTCGGGGGGAGAGGCTCCATCTTTGGAGGCAGAAGCCATGGGAACGGGTTGAGGTGGGTGCTCGGGGCCCTGGGGACCTGCTGCTCGCAGGGATGGGCAGAGCACCCTGACTTGATGCAGCCCACATGGCCTAGGGGACACAGCTCCATGGGTAATGTACAGCACAGACAGTGCAAATGGATGGAGAGCAGAGGGGCCGTCTGCTTTCTTCCCCTCCTCACCTATACTCAACTACACTGGGAACAACATCTCTTCTCCGTGAAGAGCCCTGGTCCTCTGGGGTCTTGCTCATAGCTCCACGTGGCCCCCAAATCTGCCTCTGCACCACAGCCCCTGCCAGCCTTGGGAGCCCCAGCTGCTCTCTGGGAGGTTGTTGGTGTTTTGGTTTTACACAGGGGAATTGGGGTGCAAGGAGGTGAAATGATTTTCCCAAGGGTGATCTTCTGCTTGTGCCCCAAACACCTCCACAATGACTCAGTCTCAGTGATCCAGAAGTGATCAAGTCATGCACTGTGCTGGTGTTTCTCTAGAACACCCATGGAGGAGGCGAAGGGGTGCAGAGGCTAAAATTTAACAAGCTGCTGTCACACCCCAGGCACGGGGCTCATGGTATGGCACTTACATCTGGAGGCAGAAGCCAAATCCAGCTGTCAGCAGACGTTTCTCTCCAATCCTCGATCTTGCCCCCTGAGCACAGCAGACTTCGTGTGATGCTTTGCACTCCCCAGGTTCTCAGAGCCACGCTCACTACAAGCAACATCCCCCTTTGCTCTGTTTCTCCCTTTTTTCCCCCTTTTCCTCGTCATCACACCCACCATGTGGGGCTCTCCAAGTGAATGCTAACCTTGTTACTCGTTATGTATTGCTTCAGGGGAAGACAGTTGCAGCTGGGAAGCTACTCCATCCTGCCCACACAGCCTGCTGCACACCTGGAAAGCACATTACGTGACTGATGAGCGCTTGTCTTAACGAAGGCATGACTTTCTGCTGGAGCCACACAGAGCGGAGCAAAGACTCGGTGACAAGCTGCACGGTAAGCAAAAGCTATGTTTTGCATAGCAGGCAAAACTTCAGCTTGCTGCCTGCTATCATGGAATCTCTGAGCACCTGACAGAGGTTACCAATTAATCCATCCTTAACAACTTGCCATTAATTCACTTACAGATCATCCCCCGGGGTGGTTCAGTACTGTTATCGCTGCTAACAGACAAGGAAACTGAGGCAGCAGCCAGAGCAGTGATTGACAGCAGCCGTCATTAGCGAATGAGGCTCAGGGCTGGGAAGCAGACCTGGGAGTCCTGCCTCTGGCTCAGCACCAAGGCACAAGGTCTCCTGTAGTGCCAATGCCCATAGCTTTCAGCCAGTTCGGATCACACCGAGCCAAAACACAGGCTTTGACAAAAGCACATCTTCCACGGAGGCAAGTGATTTGGTTCATCTCTGTGAAGAGACCCTATTCAAAGCTCTCCTCATCCTTTTAATTAACCTCCGTGCAGATTTCATCCTCTGGGTGCGCTGGAGTCTGTGCGCACAGGCAGGTCTGCATGAGAAGGGCACACAAGTGCTCGGAGCGGCTGTTCCCAAAGCCCAGCAGAAGCGAGGGACCTCCTCTCCTCCCTCAAGGCCCCAGCCCCGGGTCAGGGAGCCGGGCCGTCGATGTTTAGTCTGGAATGGTCTGCGGGACACGATTTGGTGGTGTTCCCGTGATACTTCGCACAATGAGCTTAGGGAGGACAATGCGGTTGCTTTGTGAGACGTGGCGATGCTGTGTCTTGTGACACAGCCTATTAGCAGATTGGCTAATGCCGGGTGTGCAGCTGCTTTCTGTCACGGGGAAGGCTGAAAGCAGCCAGAATATACCTGTGAATCCTGCCTCTAATTACTGAGAGCAAAAAAAAAACCAGTGTGCTCCTGGTTTTCCCGTATCTGAGCACCTTACAGGCACATGGAAAATAGCAGTCCATAACAAGAACAAAAATCCCTTTTTATGCCTTACTAAAATCCTGCTTAGTAAACAGAATTACTCTTAAAACAGGCTGTGACAGAGAGATACAAGGGAAGACAGACACTTCCTTTCATGAAGACAACTTATTAAACAGCTGAGTGGATTTTGCTACCTCTGCTTAACCCCAGCTGTCTCTACACCCCCTATTTAAGACGTTTTGCCTCTTTAAAGGACCTTTCTGGCAGCCCTCCATCAGTGCTGAATTTTTCAGGAGGCGGGGGGAGAAGGGATGGGACGTGAAGCAGCCCAGTGAGGGAACATAACATTTTTCCTTTCATTTCACTAAGGCCAAGATTTGGCCTTCTTGCTGAGGGTGGCTCGGTGGTAATAAGGATCCCGGCAGTGAACTTCCTGTGAACTGATGGGAAAAGCCCTTCTCCCGGAGAGAGGAGACAATATCCAAGGGCTGTGTACAGAAAAGGGAGGTAGTCAGCTAATAAAGAAAATTAACCCGGTGGACATGATTTGCCCGCATTCTCCAAAGCTGGAGCTCTTTTATAAGGCTTGCCGCAGAAAGCTCTTAAGGATAACAACTAATCCCTGGATAAGGGTCAAAGTTCTTACTGGGCATTAAAACCTGGTGATGTGATTAGAGAAAAAGTGAAAATTTGCTGCTCAGAGCAGAGCCTCCAACGAGGAAGCCGCAGGGTGCCATGTCCTGGTCGCTGCTGAATGATCCCAGGACACCAGAGATGAAGAGCTAATGGCTTTGGCTGATGGTGCTCAGATGTCGGAGGAGCCCAGAAGGGATGGAAAGATTATTTGGAGTGAAGCAGCCCAGCAGCCCTCTGAAACGGCCACTGGGACAGGTGCAAGGTGACGTACCCTGGCACGGGACAGCCATAACTTCACCTCTCCACCAATGGGCCTTGAAGGTCCCCTCTGGAAAAAAATATTTAGCAGTTGCTGTGGATACCTCCGATTAGATGCCTGGGTTTTGTGTGTGTCTGCAACCTAGAAGGCAAACAGGACTCAAGTGACTTAGAACCAGGAGAGAAACTATAAAAAATATCCACAGTGAGACAATGATATATAAACAATCCTTTCCAGGCTTAGGAAAGGTTTGAGATTGACAACACCAGAAGATGGGGAGTGGATTAAAAATAGGGTGGGACCTGGTTGTAAAGGGATATGGCAAAAGACTGGAGAGCGGGGTCTGAAGTGTGCCGGAGGGGGCTGGGTGATGGGATTTAAGGCTAGGAAGGAAAATCGTTGCTGGCAAATCACCCGCCCAGCTGAACCCCATGGCAGTTTGAAAATGAATGCAATCTGGGGACATCTACCTTCTGAGCTTTCGGAGTATGCTTGGGTCATGCTGGATTTTGTCTTCTGCAAGCAAGAAGGCTTGAAACCTTTTTGGTTTGACTAAAAGCTATTAGTCTTGCACATCACACAGCTCTTGCGCTGGTGCAAATAGCACAAAATTCTCAGTAAAATTGTCGGTGTTGGTGGCCTGGGCTCTAATAGCTGCTTCTTTGCCTGCATGGTCTGATGGAGGGTTGCCTGGGGCAGGTTCCCCAAGCTCAGACATTCCTGCAAGCCCTAGGTGCACGTTTTCCAGCTTGGAGCAATTTACTCCACTGAGAGCTGTGTCCATGAGAGTGCAGGAGGTTTCGCAACTGGGAGGGTTCCCTGAGCCCAGGGCTGACAGATAAATTTGGGCCTGCCCCACCCCACTCCTCAGACACACTCAGCCTCTTCCTCCCCATCCTCCCACCCTACATGGCATCCCTTACCTTCCTCCCTCGTTGGTCTTGCACTATACCCCACCCTTCCTGGCCAGCAAAGCCCCTCCAGGCTGTGCCTTGCTGTTTCCCCTCCCCATCACCCCCATACTCCATATGCAGCACCCCAATTCTAGCTGAATCATGGGTCTAAAATTCTAGATTGTAGTGACTACAGCTGTAGGATTCCCTGTAGGGAGTTGCAACCCTCCTAACTTTTCTGAAGTGGGGTTGGGAGCTCTTTTCGGCCATACTACAGCACAATTACATGCCATAACATCACCCAAATGGTGAGTAATAGGCACCTCCCATCCCAAAATCTCACAAAAATGGCCCCAGCCCCATCAGCAGTGGCAAGGCCATGGCCCATACTAATCTTTTACAATGAGGGCAGAAAGTAGCTCCCTTCAAAGGAGCCACCAGAAATGGAGAAGGAATGAGAACAAAGCTTGGATGTGCACCTACAGCAAGTGGGAGAAATACCTACCAGCAAAGTAAATAAAACATGCATGTACACTATTTTTACAGCTCCTATACCCTTCCCAAAGAGCAAATGGAGTGAGGTGCAATTGGTACCAAAATTACCTGTAGAGGTTGTGTCTCAAATGATGGAGAGGAGTAGGGAGACGTGACTTCAGCTGGAACTGGGTGGCGAACACAATACTATGTTCAGTTTGGGGCCCCTCACTGCACGAATGACATTGAGTTGCTGGAATGCATTCGGAGAAGAGCAGCAAATCTAGTGAAAGGACTAGAAAATGACGTATGAGGAACAGTTGAAGGAACTGGGGCTGCTCATTTGGAGGAAAGGAGGCTGAGGGCAGACCTTGTTGTTCTCAACAACCTGCAAGAAGATTGCAGCAAGGAGGGAGTCAGTCTCTTTTTCTCAGGTAACAAGTGACAAGATGCAAGGAAACAACCTCAGGTTGTGCCAGGAGAGGTTTAGACTGGATATCAGGAAGAATGTCTTCATGGAAAGGGTGGTTAGGCATCGGAACAGGCTGCCCAGGGAAGTTGTGGAGTCAGCATCCATGGGGGCATTTAAGAGACATGCTGATGTGGCATTTAGGTGCATGGTTTAGAGGTAGACTTGGTAGTGGTAGGTGGTTGGACTTGATGATCTCTGATGGGTCTTTTCCAACCTCCCCAAGCTGGCACCTCTAGCAGAAGTGACTGCAAATTCCAGTTCAAAAATTAGAAAGCTCCCAAAAGGATTTAGAGAGATTAGGAATGAGCAGGAAACAAAATGAGATTTAACTTGGGAAAAGATAAGCTAATATATCTGGGGCAAAGCTGCTTTACAGTGGAAGGGGACACCCTGGAAAACAGAACTGGCAAAAGAGGCTGAAAATGAACATCCATGGAGAGATGAATTTAGAGACTGAAGGAGATGTTTAGAGCCACTTCTGCGGTTCTGGAGTCATCCACCTTTGGCTATCTACAGCAGCAGAAAATTTAGGAGGGAAAATTAGTATTTTTTTTATAAATGAAAGGTATCAAGAGATGAGGAACAGGAATAACTGAGGGCAGAGCTTGATGAGTTGATACAAGGAAATTTGAAGAACTTCTGTTTTATGTCACTGGCCAAGAAACGCCCACAGAGGAGACATAATGAGACTCTGTTAAGCATCTGAGGGGTCCACATCGGAGAGAAAAGGAACACATCTAGACACATTCACAACAGGGTGAAATTAAGGCATAGAAAGCAGAGGCTAAAGAGCAGGACAAAGTGCAGGTAGTGCAACATGCCAGGCTGCAGGGTATGACCTGTGTGAGGGTAAACATGTTCAAAACAGCAGCACAATTGTGACTGGTGGACCAGACAACCTAAAATCAGAAAATATTCCTCTTGGGATGTCTCGGAGCCTGTGGCTGGTCCCAACAATTCAGCAGGGGTGTGAATCACACTCAGTCCCACAAAGTGAGTCACAAATGTCACAGTCCCTTGTGCTGTACATCCAGCCACCCCAGTGGGGTACTGGTACAGAGGGCAGTGCCACTCCCTGACTCATCAGCACCACCTCTGGTGGTTCAGCCCGTTCTCCTGGCTGCTGTGTGTTGGCTACGTCCGCACTGAGCATTCAAAACACAGCTCCTGCAAGCCAATACTGCAGGCGAGAAATTGGCCCAAAGCCTCAAGAGCAGCCTCGTATTAGTCACGAAATAACTCAGGATGATCCTATGACTCATAATTTATTGTTCCTATGGAGACGAAAAACAATCAGATTCGGTGCTGTTGACCCCAATTCATCGCACTTTCAATGGTGAGATAAATCAAAATAAGTAGGAGTTGGCTTCGTATTCCCCAGGAGCAATAACACCTTAGAAGAAACATGAGCTGACCAGGAATTTCCAGGCTGTTTCTCCCAGATGTGAGGTCCTTACAATGCAACAGAAAAAGGCTTGAACACTCCAGCAAGCTGCCCAAAATAAGGAAGGGGTCTTGAGGAGAAATGAACCAATTCAAGGTGGGGGAAAAAATGAATTAAAAAAAAAAAAAAAAAAAAAAAAAAAAGAAAACAATGGAGGCAAATGACAGCAATTTTCTTTTCCAGAAGTTAGTGCTTGCACTAGACTCCCAGCAGCTAGACAGGAAAGGTAGGGAGAAGTGGTGGTGGGAGTCTAGCTACTGGAGAAAAGGCCAATGACATGAACATGGCACAGGGTTAATGATATGATCACAGCATGGACTGTAATCGATGCTAGGGTTCTCTGTAGTGAGAAAGACATGAAGGCTAGGCAGACAGACAGCAGCTGAGATGCCTTTCCAAAGTATACACACACTCAGGCAAGTTGTGCTCTTGCTCAGGGAAGAGTTATGAATAAGATGGAGGTGAAGGACTCAGGTCAGTTCATGCAGACCACAATTCTGGCCTCAAAATCCCTGAAGAGGTGATGGGAGAGGGTTATTTGCTTAAGCTGATCATTGTGCTTATCTTGTGCTGCCTCTCCTGAGCTGTCCGTGGGGCTTGCAGCTAAGGGGTTAAATCTCTCCCCGTTCTGCTCAGGTAATGGTCCCATTGAATGGGGGAGTGAACCACAGACCTGTTCAACCAAGATTCACAGGTCTTGCCATCCCCAGCCAAAGCTTCTCAGCTGCAAGGCACCATTCAGGTTGGGAGTGAGGCATCACCGCCTGTATCCTGGGTTATTTTGGCGTGCCATCAGCAGTGCGGGTGTAACACCCAGCAGAGCCAGACACCTTTCCTAGCCTGGGTCCCACCAAGTGACACGCTCCAGGGACAGAGCACACAAGCAGCTCCTGAAATATCTGGCAAAGGCCATACTGAAGCAACCCCCTAGCCAAACCCTTGCAGGCACGGGTTGAGCTCAACAATTTGTAGCTCAACACCTTTCCCCACCACATCTAAGTGCCAGGCTTGGCCAGGAGATGCGTGGCACGCAGTGAGCAGCAGAGCTACCCCTGTGCTAAAGGCACGTAGGAGCCTGTGGCAGCAGATTGCAGTAAGCAGCACGGATGCCAGAGGAGACACTTGGGCACTCCCCATTTGGGGAGGGGTTGGGCATTTTTTTTACTCCCACAGAAGTGTCAGGGGTATCCAAAGGTGTGAGATAAAAATAAAAAGCGTGAACCAGCAAGATTAGCCCCATATCACAATGTACAGATATAGCCCAGAAGCACAGATATTTCCTAATATGTCCCTCAGCTGTGAATGCACAGCAATGCCTTCCTGAGTATACATTGAGGCATCTCAGGCGGTGCTTCAGTGGAGACCTGTAACTGGAAGACTATTTTGGTGGCGGGAGGCCAGCCTTGGCCAGGTAAATGGGTCACACGTGTGGAAGAAGCCTGTCTGCCAAGTGTGTGTGTCACCTCCAGACGTGCGTGGAGAGCTGCACCTCTGGGAGATGCCCCGTCATCCCCTCCTCGCTGCATGTACCCAGCAAACTAGGGCCACCAGTCCCTGATGTTTGAGGGAGGACTTGACCCTCATCCCTGCTGTGGTGCAGAGCCCCCCGATGTCCTCCCCACTCCCCAAATGGAGAGGAATCCCTCCCCAAAGCCAGATGCTGCTCAAACTCCTCACAGGCTCGCCCTGGCCCCTGGTATGAGGGTACCACACCTCGCCACCTCCCACAAAACACATGGGGGGGCATGTCTGGGTCTGGCCTGTCTCTCTCTGTGGTGATATTCCTACAGCATCTCACTCAAAGGAGGCACACCATCAGGTGACGTGGCCGGGAGCCATCTTGAAACACCTGAAGCACCTGAAGGGACAAGGGCACTGCCAATGTGTGGGCTGCTCTTGCCTCACTGACAGGGGGTGGATTTCCTCTGGGCCTCCCAGTCCTTCACAGGACCGTGTAGAACAGAACAGAAGATGTATAAGCATTTTTAACATATTCTCTGGAGGTGGCTGAGGAGCCTGAGCAAGGCCTTTCTCTGCAGTACTGCTCCCCCTGCTTCCCTCCTGGCAGGCTGATGGACTCGATTTGCAGTCCGAGTCATTAGCAACAAGGGGTCAAAGCAGCTAACAGGTGTCAAATCAAAAAGAAGGCATTTCTAGCCAAAAGCACCCTTTTCCCACTGCCAGTGGGGTTTTCTGTCCTCTCTGCCCAGGGTGTTTCAGGTGCCTCTTGTCTTTGACTCCCACAGAATAAGTGAAGCAGGTACGAGGAAAACTGCCTGAAGACAATGTTTCAATCAGCCACCCACCCAAATGTGGATGTGACCGAAAGTCTCCAGGGAAAAATCCCTTTGTGCAGGGCACGTGGCAGCAAAGCTGGCTGGGCTCCACACGTCCTTGCCTCACCCCAGGACAAGGCACACGTAAGCCAGGTATGATGCACAGGCTCAGGACGGGCAGGACGAGGGAACAGCACGTTCCTGGATCCAGATACCTCCTGAAGTGGGGTCCTCACCCATGTGGAGCCGCTCCAGTGAGGCCAAAGCTCCCCTCTAACAACAAGCTGCAACCAGTCTCCTCCCAGGAGGTTGCAGCCCAGCCATATCCACTCTGGATTGTAAATTTGAAGAGCTGGAAGGCTTCCAGTGCCCCAGGTGCCTGCTTCAGAGCTGACTTGGACAGCCTCTTGCTGCGCTGCCATCCTGTTGTGGCTGCAGTGTGTATATAATGTACCATGATGCAGCTCCTTCACCTCTGCTGTAGCCACACACAAGTGAATCCCTTCAGCAGGTGGAGTTGTCCCAGATGAAAAGTGCCACCACACCGGGCACAGCTGCTGTCTCATAGAGCAACCTGGCTCTGCACGGTGTCCTCCTCCTCCTCCTCCTCAGCCCTCAGAAGCAGGAGGAGAGAGCAGTGCAGATGCTGTTCTTTGCTCACAGGAAGCAGCCATCTCAGCTCTCCAACGATGGGCAGGGTTCAACATGTTGTGACCCACAGTAGGGACCTGCTGCCTCATCCATCCAGGGGACCTGGGTTCCCTCAGGCTGATATTTCACATCCAGACAGGTCTCTTCAGCTCAGCCCATGGTAGCACCACTGACTTGTTGGTTTCAGTCTTTTTTAGTTTGCTGACTTGTAAACACTTCCAGGTTCCAGTAAAACCAATGCAGGTCTGCCAAGGATAGACTTGATGTCTTTGTTAACTTGCACAGCCATCTGTGAAACAGCCAATAGATCCTCACAAGCCACAAGTTGGTGGTGAATACACAAGGCAAGAAATTCCTTGGGTTCTTCACACAGCAGCATCCACAAATGGCCCCCGCTCACCTTCACACCTTCCACTGCTGCACCCTGCAAGATGTTACTGAACAAGATGAACCAGAGCCTCAAGTGCTTTTCCTCTTTCCTCTACTCTCTGCCTTCTGCAGAGGCCAAAACTGCACATAAAATAAATAAAAAACAAAAACCAGATCCTTTACCTTGAGAAGAACGGGACGGAGCAGCAATGAACTTAGTGGTCTGTATTAACCCCATTATCTTTGTTCAATGTCGTCCAGGATGGTGAGGTATCACTGAGCCATGACTGGTAGAGGGTTACACACAGCTCCAACAGCAAACACCGAGTCCGTTACCAGTGAAAGGCAGGCTCAGAGCATTACTTTTAATCTTGGATTGTAAATTCCACCGAGATTGCATCTACTCGTGCCCGTGCAGCACCCAGCATGATGGGGCTTGGCTCCTGATAAGACAAGAGGCAAGGCTGCGACCATCATGGCACTGCTTGGTGTCAGAGGCTGGAAAGGAACCCAGGAGTCCTGCCCCCTCGCTCCTGCCCATCAGACCACCCTCTTCTCACTGAGCTGGGAACTTGGGCTGGGCTTCACAAAAGTATTTTGGTGCCTACCTCCCAGTAATTTCAAGGGGCTTTAGGTACCTAGATGCTTTTGGAGGCTCTGGGCCCAAATCCAAGAGTCCAACTGGCAGGTTGCTGGAGCCCTGTATCCTCCAGAGGCAATGCTGGAGGGTCTGCTACACAATGGAAGAAAATCAGGATGCAAGGCAGAAGGAGAAGGCAAAGGAAATCAAGGTCAGAATTAAATTCTTTAATACAAAAAAAGTTTGTTTGTCGTCGTCGTCGTCGTTTTTTTAAGATATATCTGTAATTTCTTTGTTTAAAAATAAATATGTACTAAGGAATATCTTGAAAAAATTCACTAGACACAATATGTAGTGTTAATATCTTTTTTCCCCGCAATTATTACAGATAAACAGTAGCACCAATAAATAAAATGATAACAAATATTAAAATTAAAAAGGAGAGAGATTCAAGATGTAGAATTTTCTATTTTTCCTGTCTCTTCTTTTTACATATATAAAAAAATCGTAGCGTCTATTTAATCCAAATCACACATATACATAAACATATATATATATATACAAACACATAGCCAAATATATATATAGTATGTAGATGTATATCTAACCCTTGTCTCAATAGGAATGTGTAGGGGTAGGTGTTAGAGAAATTAATTAAATAACTGCCCATAACATGCTACTGACTCTGCCAACAATTGGGGAGAGATGGGATGGGACAACAGGAAGGTTAAATTTATACACAACCAGTACAAATAAAAAAAAAAAAAAAAAAAAAAAAAAAAAAAAGAGGTACGGCTTATAAATAGTTGAAATTAAATATTAACAAAGAATACTGAAAAATCCCTACTCTTTAATTAAATTATCTGTTTAATTTCTAATTTAAAAAGGGATATTAAATAAGTATATAAAACACTTTCTCTTCCCTCCCCCCCCATCGGAAGCCTCTGTCTTGCGCACGATGCAGCATAAGTATTATACATTGCAGATGCAAGCACCCACCCGTGTGTTTTTTTTCTCCTTCTGAAAGCCATCGGTCGGATGGGGAGTTCCTAGTGGTTAGTAGTCACTTGTTGTGAGTCTGTTTTTAGACTGTCTTGTCTTTTTTGGAAGCTTTCCGTGTTGTACATTATCAGGCGTTGAAAAATTCAATTGCAGATGATGTTTGGCAGATTTCTGACACAGACCGAGTACCTTTTTGATTATTATTATTATTATTATTAATTTTAATCACAGAACTAGATTATATATATCCACATAGATGTACAAACACGCTTTCAGGGGTGTGTGTGTGCACGCGTGTGTAAGGTGGGTTTCACATACACCACAGCGTATACTGTAGATACACACATAGCCAAGATTTTCAGACACGGCTTGGGGATTCCGGCTGCCTTCACATTTGATTCCCCAGCCCAAGAGCTGGAAAAAGGGCCTGATATTTACAGTACGCCATTAAAAAAAAATCTTGACGCTCACATACACACACACACACCCCTACTGTGTATATACTTTTGATTAATATCCCTTTCCAGAAATGTTCCATAAGCATCTTGGATGCTCTTGAGTGGCAGCTCTGTGCATGAAGAAAGCAGACAGTGCTGAACAATTGTGTGGCTATGCACCGGTCCCCATTCTTGCTTCAGCACACTGTAGGCCTTATGTCCTTTTGCAGCCACCAAGGGCGGGGAATCTAGACTCCTGTGATACTTCCTTGAATGGAAAGTTAGTGCGCATCAGCTGCCCACCATCCTTAAGAGAAGCCAGCATTGCCTCTCTGGCGAAGTTTCTATAGCGAATAAAGTCAACGCAAAATGTACACTGACATCCCATGTCCCAGCAAGGCAGGCAGGTTATGAGACGAGTAAGGGCGAAGGTTGGGGGAAGAGAGGGGAGGAGGAATCCTTGATCACGCAGATGGCCATTTCCTTGGCCTTTGACCCATCGCACCCTAGGATGCCGCTCTTTGGAACTCCCTGCCCATCCTCTCCATCACCTCTCCTTCCTGTCCCAGGCAAGGAGAAGGTGGTTTATGGTACAGCACACTCTACAGAGAAACAGCGGAGGCCGCACAAGTCAGTTAGAGTTAAGAAGTTTACACCCAGCGCTTCTACTCAAGTCCAGTCTTAGCTTGTTTCTTATGCCCCAAGTAGCCCGCTTGTGTCCACAGCAGTCGAGTATTATCCAGTGAAGACACCAATAACATTAGCAATGTTAAAAAAAATAATCAGTATATATATATATATATTATATATATATGTGTGTGTGTGTGTGGTTAAGATATACATATATGTATATATAGATGTGGTTAAAATATATATACATATATATATATGTATATGCATGTATACACACATATATATGTATGCATGGGAAAACCCATCAAATACACCCCTATAGTCTTCCTGGCTCTGTTATTTAGCAGCATGAAAAGAAAAATAAAATAAAACAGTTCAAAACCCAAAGGTGAATTCTGTGCGGCGGGTGCCTTGGGGAATGTTCCTTCCGGAGTCCATCGTCCGTACTGAAAGTGCTGTGCTCTACCGATCCTTCATTTTTAGGGTTCATTTGGATTAGTGTTTTGTTTTGTATTTTTTCTGTCCAGGCGAGAAATCAGGCTCCAGAAACAGGGCTGTTCCCCCTTCTTTTCCGCTGCTCACCGTCTCGGTTTTTCACATCTGTCAGAGAGGAGAGGGAAGGAAAGAAAGAGAGAAGAGATTAACGTTTGTGACGGGGGTGCAGGTAGGACAGGGAAGGGGAGGAAGGGAGGTGACTGATGTGTTTAAGAGCATATGGCGTTAAGACATGGCATGACGTCACTGGTGGGGTGAAGTGCTGTGCAGTCAGGGCAAAACAGCAGAGAACCTCGACCCGTGAATGGGTCGATGAATTTTATTCCCCCAGGCTCACCCAGATGCAGGGGGACACTGGTACAGGGGTAAATTTAGGAGCAGAACCAGAGGTCTCCTCGCTCACAAGCTGAGTGTCTTGTTTGCACCCTCTCACACCATGCACACATAGATACACGCACACACACAAAAACAAGGCTAAGCAACGCATGCAGAAGGACACACTCCCTCAGCTCCCCACCTAGCCTGTTGTTTGGGTTGGAAGCAATGCAGACAACAAAGCCTCATGCAGGCGAGAAGGTGAAAAGAAAATGCATCTCATTTCACTGGCTGCCACGAGCAGGGGTTAGCGCCACAGAAGAGCAGCAGCAGCAGCCTGAAGAAGCGGCAGGAGAAACAAAAATTTGCCCTCCCCTCCAGGGCCCAATTCTAACTCTACAAAGAGATGGAACAGGAAGAACTACAGCTTAACCAGCTTTGTATCTGGAAACAGATAAGCTACCCACTCTTACGACTCCTCCCTATCCTTCTGGCCAACACACCAGCTCTGGAAATCTCCCTGAGTGCCAACTATCCCACCACAGGGAGCGACTAGTAAAAGAAGCAAGTAACCCCCTCCTGCCATCATGACTTCTTTGGGGTATTGTTTGTTTTTCTTTGTACTTTGTACTGTTTCTCACTCTTCAAACTCTGTAGGGTAATTTCCAGTTACTCTGTGGACAGGGAGCAGGACCAGAGGGAAAAAAAAACAAGGTTGGGTCTGGCCTCGTTCTTCGGGGGCTATGCTCACTGGGAGAAGTGTAACTCTGGAAGCTGCTGTACTCTGGCCCCTCCATCAATCACTTTCCCACTCGGATTACAGAACCCCAGAAAATTCCTCTGTTTGCAGAGCAGTTTCCAGCACTCTGGCAGTGCCTAGATGCCTCCCTGATTTTGGCACACAGCACTTTCACATTTAAGGGAAGCACAGCCCTAGTCACCTAGCCAATTCTAGACAGGCAAACAGATGTCCCCTCTGTCAGGATGTAGCCCCTGGTGAGGACCCTGGATCTCTCTCCCTTATTCTTTCTCATCCAGCCACTGCTCCTGCAATATTCTGGCAGGAGGAAGCTCCTAGATCTCTGTGAGCTGAGTTTGGAGGCACAACCAAGGGCTCATTAGCAAACCCACCTCTATGCCTCTCTCTACAGATAGGTAGGATGTTCATGCACCAGAGGTGCACACACAGCTGGTGCGAGTCAAGTGACCCCACTGAGTTCACCACAGTGCTCAGGTGAGAACCAGGAATCGGTTTCTGCACGTGCCCATGCCACGGGTGGTGCATGGTAAGTAGCATTCAGACAACGCATGCACAGTGTGGATTTCTGAGCAGACACTAACCGGTGTCTTTGCACCTCTCACCTGGCATCTGAAATACAGACCCCGGCCTGCCTTCACGTAGAGACAGGCTGAATCCCACATCACAGCCCTGAGTCCCTCAAACCACCACTCTGGCCAAGCCGTGGACAGTACACTGTGAGCACAGTGCAAGAGGACAGGGCCCTCTCCCTGGCTTTCAAGAACACAAAGGCAAATGAGAGTATGAGGACATCCCTGAGGGTGAGGGAGGTTCCCAGCCTGGCCTTCCCTTCTCTGCACACTGCAGAGTGTCCACAAGCTATCCAGAAAGGGATTGGAAGACAGGGGTGGTGAAATCCTAGTCAGCTAGGAAGGATTTGGCTTTGTACAACAGTACCCTCTCAGAGTTGCACACAGCTAATGCACAGAGGGCTGCAGACCCTCCCCCTGGCTACTGCAGCAGCATGAACTCCGTTACCTCGTTCTAGGGGAATGGACACCTTAGACACAAATGCCCTGTCTCTGGGAGCCATCCCCATCCAAGTCCTGACAGCACATCCGAAACGCAGAGCTGCCCTCTGACACAGGGAATCTCTGTCCTCATCTCAGTTAGACCCTCTGGCCCACGTAGGATAGACAAACGGAGTAATCATATAGCACTGGTGCCAGAAGTCAGCAGGAAGCAAGCTCCCCCCTCTTTCTCTTTCTCTCTCTTTCTTTTTGTGTGTTTCTCTTTCATCCTTCAGGACACAAACCTGCAAGTGCGCTCGTTTAACTCAAGCTGCCTCGACTTGCAACGTGAGTCTGTGAATTTGCAGGAACATTTACAGGTCTGGGGATCTTGTACAAACAAGTGCTTTCTCCTCTCTGAGCAAGGCTCACAGTGACTGCAAAAAGGCAAAAGGAAAGATGTCTAAGCTACAGCGCTTCAGCAGAAAGAAAATACACATGCAACACCCTAAACATCAAAGCAATCCCCTTGCCCCCTCCCACAGCCCCCATGCTGCCCACTGAAGTGTCGCGGGCTGATGGTTTTCCAGCAGCACCCCGGCAGCCCCAGAACCTGGTCAGGACAGCACCCCTTGGCATTAGCGTAAAGAGAAAAGAGAACAGGCTCTGCACAGTATTCACAAATGCTGCATTGGATCCATCGGCACAGGCCACAGGGAGGAGGAAGGGGGGGGAAGCAAGGATGGGAAGGTGAGAGGTCCCAACCAGCTATTGAGGTATCAATGAAAGGCGTTTTCTGAAGTGGGCTATTCGAGTAGAAAGAGGCCAGCGGCTACATGAGTTAAATACACAGGGTCTCTCCCCCCTGGAAAGCAGCTGGGCTCCAGCATCATGTGCTTGTCCCCACAGTCGGCATGGCCCTCCTTTCTCTAAGTCCCATCCCAGCCTTGCTACCTAGGATTCTCCCGTGAGGGAAGGGCCGTGAGCTTTCAATGCAGAATTGTGTGAACCACCGTGAGAGGCAGAGCGAAAGAGACAGGTTTAGAGACAGGGAGAGAGAGAAGCCACCAAAACCAGCAGGGAGAGAGAGAGAGAGAGAGAGAAAAAGAAAGAGAGAGAGAGAGCCCCCCGGTTCCCCAGCACCCCTTTTCCAGCTCCCCACCGTCCCACCTCTCCTCTCCGCCTGTGACTCCACCAGACACGCAGGCACACGCGCGCACGCACGCACACACACCCATGCACGGCAGGCACCAGCCTGCCCGCCGCCAGTCGCCGTAGCACGGGCACAAGTTGGGGGGACAGCAGGCGACAAGAGCCGCAGCCCAAGGAGCGGGAGAAGAGGTGCAGAGAGCTCGCCCACCCCGCCCCGCGCTCCTGAGCCTCGCCGGGGGTGATTAGAGAGAGCCAAGCAAGCGAGAGCCGCCTTCCCTGAGACACCCCTCGGTGCCGGAGCGGTGCCACCGCCAGCGCTGCCCCTGCGGGGATCTGCAGCCCACCAGTGACTGGGAGGGGAGGGTGAGATTTTGAGTGAGCAGCAAGCAGGCGGACTGGTTTGGGGAAAAGGGAGGGAAGAGAGTCTACAAGCAGAGGACACAAACGTACAAGCTGGGTGGTTTGTACCGGCCTTTCTTGCGCTTTCTCTTTTGACCCTTCCCCTTTCCTCGCTTTGATTTTCTGGAAGAAAAACAAAAAAAAAAAAACAGAGAAAGAGAGAGAGAGACAGAAGGAAAGAAAGGGAGAGAGAGAGAGAGAGAAAACGGAAGAAAACGCAAGGAAGAAGAGGAGAAAAAAAAAACACAGCCATGTGCCTTGCTGGGAGGGGGAAGCACATGAGGCAGGACCGGAGGAGGGCAAGTCCCGGGGCCGAAGCACAGATCTCCAGAAGCACAGATCTCCAGAAGCACAGATCTCCACCTCGCACACACACTCACTGGCCTCCTGCGCTCCTGCCAGCACCGCACCCAGCCTGCCCGCAGCCAAGCCAGCGCCAGGGGACACAGCGTGCGCAGAGGCCACCTCCACGCGGGGCTGTCTCTGAGGGTCCTCGCAGCCCCCGGACAGGGGCAGTGGGACAGGGGAGAGGGAAAGGGAATGGAAAGCCTGGTGGAAGCGTCACGCAGCGAGCGCAGGCAGTCATCCCGGGCCACAAGCTCAGGTGCACGCTGGCTGAGGAGGGTCAACCTGCATGGAGGGGCTCCCTCAGGGAAGAGGAAAGCGCCCTGACCTGGTGGCGAGGAGGGGGCAGCCCAGGGATGGTGATAATCCTGCCACGGGACGGGCTCAGCACGCTGGGATAAGGGGGGAGAATGCTGCTTGGAAGGGGTCACCTAGCCCGTGGGCTCTGCTCGCCCACCCCGCTGCCTGCCTGTGGCTCGCTGGGCTCCAGGAGACCTCGCTGTCTGCTAGCAGCCCCTCCAGCAGCCTCCTTCCCGAGTGCCAGAGGAGGAAGAGGGAGGCCTGAACGAGCTATGACACCCAGGAGATGATAACCAGCAAGAGGCTTCAGGCCTTTGCTCCTTTTCTCCCTCACCCGCCCCTTCCCTCCCTTCGCTTTCCACATGGGCCTGATGAGCAGACGGAGCCAAGGCACTGACTCTCTTTAAAATTCACCCCTTGCTCCTGATTTGGGGGCAGGAGCTGGGACGGGATGGGGCTAGGACGCTACCCATGGACCTCTACAGCCCAGCGAGAGCACAGAGAGGGAGGGAGGCTGGAGCCTGCGCTGCTCCTCGAGCCACATCAGAGCAGCACCAAGGGAGAGGCATGCGAGGAGAAGGCCCTGGGCAAAGCACCGGGGCTCGTCAGACACGTGGGCACCATGGCAGCTCAGCAGGGACTCCCTCCTTCCCACCTCGGGAGGGAGCTGTGGAGGGAGGGGACCTGGGGGGGCAGAAGGGAAAGCACCACGGGTGTTCCTTAGGCCCCGTTCAAGTCTTCTCGCTGGAACGAGTGCCCGAGCATCAGCTCACTCCCAGCCTCTGCCCTACGTGTCAGGAGTCACAGGGAGGCGGTGAGGGGAGGAAAATCGACCTGAAGGGAGGAGAGGGGCACCAATATAACAGGACTTTCAATCGAGAGCAAGTCAAAGCACAGCAATCTCTCCCATCCCTTCCCTTCCTTCCCCGGGGGAGTGCAGAACCAGCAAAGAGCAGGCAAGGTGCTGTTAGAAGAGGAAAGGGAATTGCAACACAGGCCGGGCTGGCTGCTTCACCCACACCCCATCCTCACCAGAGCTCACACAGACCCAACAACTCTCACACACCTTCAGACCACAGAGCCACGCAGACCGACCGTCCCCGACACGGCCCTGCACAGAGAGGAGCACCGGCTGCCCGATGCAGCCACGAGCGGATTGCCAGGGGGAGGAGGAGAGGCTGGAAGGCGGCGAGAAATACACGGCCGCCGGGAGAGGGGTGAAAGAAGTTCTCTCTCACTCTCCCGCTTGCTCTCTCTCTTTCTCTGTTTCAGCCTCATCGCCCAGCAGCCGCCCCTTTCCTCTCCAACTCCGCACCTCCAAGTGGCAGAGCCGCTATCCCAGCCATGCGCGCTCCGGCTGAGCCTCTCAGCCAGAGAGGTCGCTCTATTTTTCCATGTTCTTCCACGTTTTGTGATCGTCCCTGCAACTACCGCAGGGCGAGAGCCGATTTATCTACTTTCCATAACCTTTTTACTTCGGGGAGGAAGGAAAGGGAAGGTTGTGCCTTAACCTTCTTCAGGTCACCAGAGTAAATCCATCAGCTTGAAAAAAACCTCTCCTGAAAGCCTCCACCGAGACCCAGCTAGGAGATCCATCTCCTTTTATACCCTCCCAGGCCCCCACCCCACCAAAACCAGCATCACATCGTGCATGGCATCAGTCCTGCCTCCACCAGGCCTCCACTGCCACCTCTCCCTGTAGCCAGCAGAGTTCCTACCCAAGCTGCTGTGAAAGAAGCCAGCAAGTTCTCACTCAAGCAGCAAGAAAAAAAATTAATAATAAAGAAAGGCAGCGATTTGCAGTAACCAGAAACACCCCAGGAAGAGGGAAGGGAGAACAGGGGCTGCACCTTGAATCCATTCTGGTAGGACACACACGACGGGACTTCCCTGACTCTGGGTAAAGCATTAGGAATGACTGCCATGGTCGTGGGTCATGCAAGCTCCAGGTCTGGGGTATGAAGGAAGGACCGTCAGATCTGGGTTTCTGTGCCCACCTGGAACGGATTCAGAGTGTCGCCCCATGCACTACCATATGCCATTTCCAAAAACACCTTCTCCAAGTGAGGATCTCCAACCAATCAAGGAAAAGGGCAAGGGGCAGTGGGGAGAGGAAATGCCAACCAACCACCAAAAGAGAAAGGAGGAAAGGTTTGTCACTTACTTTTCTTGTTTATTTTTGACATCTTTCTTTGGTCTGTGGAGGAAGAAAGAACAAAGGCCTCATTAGAAGGGCGCTTACCACATACACATCCAGTATTATTCCCAGTTCCCGCAAGCACAGGGAAGAGGACATGTACAGCTGCTGCTGCAGGACGCCCATGGCACAGGTTAAGCAGTCCTTCTCAAAGCATTTGCTCTCCTGCTGCACCTCACCAGTGCCACCAGCCCCCAGGCTGCAGGCTAGCATTGTCCACCTGCCATATCTAGAGATGGAGGAGCCTCGCCAGCAGAGTTCTTTTCCCAGGCTCAGCCATCCCACTGCAAACCACCTGAGGAGACCGCAGAAGCCTCTGGACAACAGTCCCAACCCAACGGCAGGAAGAAGGAAAGGCTCAGAGTAAGTTTATTGCAAGAGGAACCAGCGCTGCTCCATTCTCACCTGCAGTCACATTTACTGTGCTGTAAGAAGCTCATGTGCGCTATGTGCTGACTCTGATGGGGTTTAATTCTCATGATCTGGAATGAAAGAAACAGAGAGGGTCACTGCCCATTCACTATTTATACTCACGGCTCCAAATCAGCCCGCTGCGCGGCAAAGCACTTGCACCCCAGGTGCTCCTGGGAAGAGCATGGCAGAGTTTGAGCTGGCTTTGAGGCCCCGTTCTCCCAGTCAGAGAAGGCCCTTTGATCACAAGCAAGCGGCAACACCAGGCTCGTGCCAAAGCTCTGTTTGCTCATGCATGCAAGGTGCCAGCACCGGTGGACTGCCTTGGAGACAGGCATGGGAGAGGGCGTTAACACCACAGTAAGATTCTCGCTGAGCCGTCCCTGGGCAATACTAGCAAGACAGTAACGGAGCATTCGGCCTGCTCCCAGAGAGAGGCACGTTTCAGTCTAAAGCAAAGGCCCAAAGCGAAAGCTCCATGTCTAACTGCTGTTCCCTAAGCCACCACTCCTTCCCGGCTGACACGTCACCTTCTCGGCGAGATGACACACAGAACAAATCTGGTGCTCTGTGCTTAAAACACCCCTGCAGAGCCAGGCTTCGCCCAGCCCCTAGCTCCGTGTGCCTGCAGGGAAGTTATATGGGAAGCCAGGCATGTGCTGTTACAGTCTCTCAACCCAGAACCTGGCTGGACCACGAGTTCTAGCATTTGCACCACGGATCTCCTGAAGTGCTTCTGACCCTTCCCAGGCATGCAGGCATGCCAGCCAAAACACGTAATTCAGCAAGGAATGGTAAGAAGGAAACTGTCCTTAGTTACACCGTGCTAGTAGGCTCTGGCCCAGGCTGGAGCATGCAAGTGGAAAAGCAGTACAGGGGAACCATGGAAGGACACCGAGAGGTTCTCTGCCAGAGTTCAAACACAGCCGAGGTCACAAGTGAAAAGCACTGGCTGGTAGTCACGCAGTCCTGCACGTCTCTCCTCCATATCACAAACTGATGGCAATATTTACAGTGCCCTTTCAAGAGGCTGAGGGACAAAAGTAGGTGAGGGAGCTACAGGCTAAGGGTAATGGACACTAGCACCACGGTGGGTGCAAGCTGGAACTGAGGCTGGCAGGCAAGGGCAGTGACAATGCTCTCTAAGCAGAGTCTGTATCTTCCCCGTGTGCCCAGCCTTTGCTATCACGGCCAGTCCCTGTCTCTTCCAAGAACTGAATTCAGCAGCCTCCAAACAAAGGAGGAGGACGCCCAGAGGCAGAAAGGCTTTTCCACTTGACACTGAAGCAGTGTGTTTCTTAGAGACCCTTTCCACCCCTGCTGTGCCAGTGTAGCTAATGACCCAAATCCCCTGCTCTGTTGGTAAAGACTGACCTCGCATGCCCTCCGGGAGAGAGTACTGACAGGCTTTTCCCTACTGCCCTACTCAGCTGCCTTCAGAGCAACAGCTGTGTGGACCAAATGCAGGGTTAAGGTAGAGCAAGGGTCTGGGGAGCGTCTTCTCCGGGGCCTCAGAGATAACAGCATCAGAAATGCTCCTCTGCATTCTCTACACGCGAAGTGCTCCTTTTTGCAGAAATGCTCCTCTGCCTGCTCCTAGCTTCTGTATCTCTTGGGGCGGCTGTGACGGGTGACTTGCCTCCTCCACCCAAGCATGCCAGCTCGCAAGTTGGGCCCTCACCTCCATCGTGACGTTGTACACATCCACAGGGACACATTCTAGGCCCTCATCGCCGCAGCAACCCGCACATCTCATCAGAGGCACACAGGATGGCTTGAATATGTACTCCACCTCATCGGGGTACTCCTGGAAAATGTCCACCAGGGTCTCAATTGTCCTGCAGAAACTGCGCTCGTAGACTTCCAGGAATTTGATAACTACAGGGAGGAATGGAGGGAATAAGTTAATGCAAACTTAGCTCAAGAATGTCTAGTGCTTTGCCCCTTAAAACGAGCCAGACAGTTGCAACACATCTACCCTATGCTCTTCACTAACAGTCTTGCAGGCCTATGTCCTTCGTCTCTGCCCTACTCACCCACCCTCCCTCTCTCCCTCCCACCCACACCCCAAATCAGCAGGGGAAGACAAGGAGATGGCCCTTCCTCCTGCTGCTTCGGGACTGAGACAAGATGGACCGGAGAGCTTCGCTCTTTGGACTGGCCCTCCCTGGCAGCACGATGCATCCCACAGGTGCCTTGTCCCCTTGCCGTCCCCCATACTCTCAGCCATGCTGCCTCTAAGCAAAGGAGCCGCGCCAAAAAGCACCTGAGGCTGCTGCAGATGACCTGCGCTCTGGATTAAGGCCCTTCACTTTTACCTTCTGTCAAAAGCAGAGGTTTTAGGAGGCAGGGGCATAAGCCAGAGACAGAAGCATCCTCTCTATAGACCTCAGCGCAGAGACAGCCCTGAGAGTGGTGAGACAGCTGTGAACAGTGCATCCATGTGGCTTCGTTTGCCCCGCCAGCTACAGCTTTTGCCCACACACAGCATCCACCTCCAGGAGACCGACAGCACCTGCTACACATCGCAGCCTCCCTGTCTCTGCACCGACCACTCTCCCAGAGCAAGGAAGCCAGCCAGCACCTGGAAGACTCAGAGCGAGCCCACAGCACCCCCAGGATTACCCAGACCACACACTTGGCCCCTGAACCACAACAAGGCAATGTGGGAGGGGGAACGGGGTGGATCTGCCATTATCCCCTGCCTTCCCTCTGAATGGAGCAAACGCTAACTGCTTGCGACCTGCGCTGATTTCACAAGCGTTTCTCAATGTTTCCCAGCCTCTTGCCAAAGCTTCGTCTTGCTGCTTGGTCAAGGGTTGGAGAGATTTAAAGAGATGAGAGATAGGGTAGATAAAGTACACACGCACAAAACCCAGCTGCTCGCCCACCTCTGCAAACAGCCAGTACCTGGAGCCCTCCAGGCCTCCCAGCTCCACCAGCATGCAGGCAGCAAAGGGAAGTTGTCTCAAACGGAGCAGAGGATAAGCGTGTGCACCGAGAGATAGTGCCTGCCCCGTGCTGTTATGCGCTATAATGATCCACCTGTACAGTATGCAGAGTCCTACAGCACCGAGGTTGATAACTCGGAGTGATAAGCGCAAACTGCTTGCATCATGGAAAAATGGTCTCTGGTAAGCGTTTCTAAAGCGCCCTGAACTTGTGACAAACTGGCATAAAGGTTACTTTGCCACAAAAATGCAAAAGCTGCAGGGCTCGGAGCTCACAGCCCGCAGTTAATTGTTGAAAGTTAATTCTAGGTCATGCAGAGCTGACAGTGCCACAGTGCTGAGAGCGGGTACAAGAGGGGAGGAGCTCCCATCCAGGGAGTTTGAAGTGTCAGAGAGCGTGAGCAGCTATTAAAAGAGAAAGTGGCTTGTGAAAAGGAAATGTAGCCTGGCAGGCATGGACTGCTTGTTGGTATTCCTAGCCTAAAAGACAGCACGCCTCTGTTCCCTGTCCCTTCCCTTCCTCTTCCCTCCTCCCCCAGCAGCAGCGTGCCTCCTGCCTGTCCTCCGATCTTGTCTGTGCTACCTCCTCCTTCCTGCTCCCCTTCAGAGTGACCTTAGTCCCTGCCTGTGCTCCAACAAGTGGAACAATTTAATATGTGGGAAATTCTGCAGGCACAGTGACAGCCGCTGAACTGCGCTGCTGATTATTCACGCTGTGCCAGCAGAAAGGATCCGGGAACTCCGGCAATACAAGCACAGCGCTGGGTAAAAGACTGCTTCCAGACCCACTGCAAGGGGAAGGAGGGAGGAAAAGAGGGAGGGAAAGCGATAGTTACCTGTGCAGGGCAACTGCTGCTCACTGAATCCCTCTGGAGCACATAAAGAGGCAGAAACCGAAACCAGGCACAAAACTGAAGTGAAACTGATTCGAGTCCACAGTGCTAGATTACACCAGGGAATGCGGGCTACAGATTGGCCATGGAACAGCACATTTGATTTATTTTGCGGAGCCTTTACTTTTATGGCTGCACCCTGATAACTATACTTGAGATCTGGGAGATCTGACAGGACCAAACGCCTCCCGTTATCAGCGCTGGAGTTTTTGCCTTTACTTTAACGTAGGAGGATTTTCCAAAGTCTGAATCAGCCTCGGAAGAGGGAACAGGGACTCTTTATCCGACTGCCAGTCAGAATGCCCTGCCATGAAAGGCGCGTTGCCTCGATGCCACTGGACACAGAGCATTCGCACGGAGGCTGTGCGGCGCTCCGCAGTCCATTTGCACAGCCAGTTCCCAAACCGGAGCACATGACTGAGGTACAGTCATCCTCACAACAAAGCCCTGCCCCTGCTACTGTATCTACACTTACTCCTATGTCCTGGGAGTCATATTCCGCACTTTGCCGGGCTGATTCAGTCCCTGCTTCCTTTCCATTGGCTGTGGCAGGACGGAAGGACGTCTGTCTTTCATGGGGAAACATAGGAAGGTCACTGAAGGACTAACACCGCTTAGCCTGCTCCCTTCCTGCAATTTGGGCCTCAGCCCATGTTAAAAGTTAATCCCGCATTTAACCCACACCCCTACTCTGTAAAACACCTCCACATTTGAGTCAGAGGTTCTTCTTTGTGAATGGAGAGGGAAATAAGGTTAGAACTCAGCCAGGGCCCACAATAACTCTTTAGGCAGACATGGCCACAGCAGGCAGGATTAAGTCCAAATTTTGAGCAGTCGAGTGGGAACAAGCTAGACTAGAAAAGGAGTAGGTCTGTGATCATTCTGCCTCCCTCCCCGTCAATGGCTTAGCAGCAATACAGACACACTGTTCTCTTAAAAATAAAAGTGCAGCCACAAGTGCTGGTGGTTTCATTTATTTATACCAGAAAATCTTTTCTCGTGGAACAAACAAAGAGTGTTTGTCTAACTCCTCTACAACTTCCCGTGCCACAAAACATGTGGAAGGCTCTCTCGAGCACAAAAGGGTAGGGGCTGAAGTTAAAATTACAGGCTCCAACCGGAGTTAAGTCCATCCCAAATAAAAACCTGTTGCAGCTTGACATCTCAGAGCAAGCACAAAATGGCCAGAGACACAAAGTCACCTTACGCACCCACCCCAAAGACCCCAGGAGCATCAGCAGAAGGCACTGCAGGATTGTCCTTGTACAACAGAGGCACATCATCGACTCCTCTTCACCGAGGGGAAACTGAGGTACAGAGAGAGAACCGCCAAGGTCATACAGCAGGACAGAAGCAGAGCCAGGAAGGTAATGCCAAGAGTACTGACTTCTAGCTCGCAGATGTATTTGCATAGCAGAGCCAGGAATAGCATCAAGGCAATAGCACTGGAGTCCCACTGCTCACGTTGCGAGACCAACTTCTCCCCTGCTCCCATCAACCTTCCTGTGACAGGGAATTAAATGCTGTTCAACTCTTCCCTCCCCGGGAACGTGGTCAGACACAACAAACGGCACAGTCCAGGACCCTAGAGCTCTTCCTACCAACAGCAGAGGGACTGGTTACCAAAATAAGCCTCACAGCAGGCTCCATCTTGATCCCTCTGGAGTCACTGAACCTTCTTCTGTTGACTTCAGCAGGAGCAAGGGTCAAGCGCAACACGCGGCAGCCCGCCAGCAAACGGGGAAATTTCGGCCACGCAAAATGGACACCTAGCCCAAACGCTGCCTGCCACAAATCTCTGGCTCCTTGCAGCCGGTCATAGCAGTACAGTTACAAGAAATTGAAGTAAGAGTGCAATGTAAAAAGCCAATCTGGGCCCACACTGCTAGAGCCCTCTGCTGACCTCCCGCTGGAATAACGCTGGAGGTCACAGCCCATGGGGGGACCCTGCGAGACCTCCGACAGAGCCAGTCACTCCAGTGAGGGGCTTGCCCTGCTGCCAAGATAATGCGGAAAACACGGTCAGAACAGAAGCTGATTGATGATCACCTCGGCCTGAAGGCCCCCAAGTCCACAGCCCCCACTTGTGAGCAGAGGACTTCGGACGGGAAGCCCACCTGCTGCAGGGCACAGGGCTCTACCGGGCAGGGGGCTGGCAGGAGGCACCCCTGAGCAGCCTGGTGGCTGACTGCCCTCCTGGCCTGCTCGCACAAACCCACAGGGCCGAGGACATGGCCACAGCCTGGCCTTTGGGCAGCACAGAATCGCTGCGGCTGCACAGCCACCACCTCGTTTCGCAAAACCATTAAGGCTGGAGAAGACCTCCAAGATCACCTGGTCCCATCCCTACTACGCTGCCAGCATCAGATTAAGCAGAACCCATACGGCCTCCAGCCCTTGAACCCTTTACCCCTGCTCACAGCGGAGTAAAAGGGTGCTTTTTCCAAGCCTGGCTCTGCACACAGCAATAACCCGAGCTGGGGGACGAGGCTAGAAGTCCCCTTGCATTGCCACCCCTCTGTCCCCAGAGCCACTGCTGGCGGTGCCGGGGCTGCGGGGCACGGCTCCGGCCTTTGTTCGGGGATCAGCCCCGGCCGCCCGGGCACCAGCGGCGCCTCCGGGGAGGAGGCAGGCGGCTGAGATGACAAATCCCTTCCTACGGCACTGTGGCGAATTCCTAGGAGGCTGCTCGCAGCCACTCAGCTCTTTGTGTGCGCGCATAAATATATATATAAATATATATATATATATATATAAATGAGCGTGTGTGTGTGCACCAGCGCACGCACGCAGTTCTCCCCGGAGTTATGGGAAGCGCGCAGCAGGCTGGGCCGGCCCCGCTGCACGTCCCGGCCCTGCCGCACGCCCCGATCCCGATCCCAATCCCGATCCCAGTCCCAATTCCGATCCCAATCCTGATCCCGATCCCGACCCCGACCCCGGCGGGGCTAATGGCGGCGGCCGCAGCCCCCCGCTCCCGCTGCGGCTCCCCGGGAGGTGGCGGTGTTGGCCGCTCCCAGGGGCCCCGGCCGCCTTCCCCCGAGCCCCCCGGGGAAGCCACCCGGCTCTTACCTTCGTTGGGTTTCCGCTCCCCATCCCCCAGGGCAGGAGCAGCCTTGGACAACTGCAAAGACAAGAGAAAAGCGGTCACCACGCGGAGCCCCCCACGCCGGGCTGGGCACAGAGCCCTTTTGTTCCCCATCCCGCTCCCCATCCTCGGCCCCGCAGGGAGAACGGGGCCGGGGAAGGGAAAAGGGAGAGGAAAGCAGGCAGGGGAAGGGGCCCGAGGGCTTGGAAGGAGCCCCCCCGAGGGGTTTGCAGCGGCTGGGGGCAAAAAGCACTGAGCAGACGAGGGCACGGAGAGGAAAACAAGGCGGGTGACCTTCTCCCGCTGGCCCGCGCTAAGCCGTGGGGCTTGGCAAGCCGTGGGCCCGCTGCCACCTCCAGAGCAGCGCCAGGCCTGCCTTTTCTCCTTCAGGCCTCCCCTTCCCCGCCATAAAGGTGAATCTGCCCCAGGAGGAGCGGGGAGAAGGGCTGTCAGGCGCCAAAGGGCATCGCGCCCCGCTCAATGTCACCGATGTCTGTCACCAAGCAGCAGTGGCCGCAGAGGTGTCGCTATCTGGCCCGCTGTCAGGGCGGCTAGCTGCTGCGATCCCCCCCCAGTGTCCCTCTGCGCTGGCACTGTCACGTAACGGGCCCGTCCCCAGCCCCTGCACTGCTTCCCTGGGACAAAAAGAGGCCCCGAGCTCTGCATTCGCGCCTGCTGTCCTCTTGGGACAAGGGGCATTTCCAAACTGCTGACGCAGGCGGGAGCAGCAATAGGGAACCCACCCCCAGACTGGGATGGAGCGGTGTTACGCCGCTTCACTGAGGAAGTCTTTTTTTAATTCCAGGTGAAACAAAAACTCCACTCTTCCTGCTCTGCGTGAGGGTTTTAGCTCTGACGTAACTTTCCAGCCAAGTCAGGTTTCCCCCTGCTGTTCTGTTCCGAACCAAAACCAAAAAAAAAAAAAATAAAAGCTTGGGTTTCTTCACTTCTGCAAGGTATGTTGCCACCTGCGTGACGCCATCCACCCCGGAACCTGCTGCCTTTCAGCAGAGGTGCAAAAAGAGAGCGGCAATGCAAACATGCAGAGCACTGTTTCATCAGCAACGTGCTGTATTTGGGCTTAGGAAAAGGCCCTCTGATCGCACAGCTGGAGACGGGACTGAATTGAGCAGGCAAAGTCCACCTCGAGCTCACAACGAGAATCTGCCACCTATAGTCTTCTAGCAGCCCTGTGCACAGGGCAGCACCACCTTCCGAGCGGCCTGAAGTGTCAGCTTTTCAAAGGAGGAGGAAAGAGAGCCGGCGAAGCCCCTCTCCCAGCCATTCCTTTGTGTCTGTGCACAGCTCCCTTTGTCTAAGGTCCCCCTGACCGAACTCCTTGCTTCTCATTTCAACCGACGTCCTTCTGTACCTGGGAATAAGACAGCAGCCCAGACCTGAGCCACCCCACGCGTGGATCTGTTATGTCCCTGGGGAGGAAAGCCTGTGTGCCTAACCTCAGCGCCGTGATAACAGCTTAAAAAGCAGGTTCCTGGGAACAATTTTGCTCCTGAAGTGTGAAGGTCACTGCAACAGCACAAACAAAATGGAGGCAGCAGAGGTTGCAGCGGCCTTCCAAAGACGCACAGGGCCCGAAGATCTACGGGTCAAAAGAAAAGCCTCCATTCATGTCATAGCACGGGAAGAAGATCACGAGCCAGGCCGACCTATCCAAGTCACAATGCTCCTAAGACCTTTCGCAGAGGGATTTACGGTTCGCACACCGAGTGACCGTGATGGACTAAGCGAAATCAGCTCTGAGCCACCTTGAGGGTCTTTCTGCCCGTTCCCAAGGTGAGGCGGCCCAGCCTGCTGCCAAGCCCCCTGCCTCCGTGCTTGGGCACACACAAACACGCACACGTGGTGCATGGGTGTTGGGAAGCAGGAGTGAGCCGCACACTTTCACTGCTCACCTGCGCGTGGCCAGCACCTCTCCCTGCCCAATGCACCGCCGCGGGAGCCAGAGCACCCTCCCAGCTCTCACCTAGACCTAGACCTGCAATTCTACCCGTAGGGTGGGAAACGGGATCAGTACTGGAGCCTGCCAGGAGCAGGGTGGACGAGGTTGCTGTTCCTCCCCCCTGGCAGAGCTCTGCAGCGCTCGAACGGGAGCTCCCAGCAGTCACCCAAGAGGTTTCCCAGAACTATCAGTAACACGCTGTCTGCCTGCTATACCAAGAAACCTCTCTGCCCTTTTGGCAGTGCCTTTCACCTGTGGCTAATGCCCTGCGAGCCCGTTCCCTCAAACAACAGAGCAGGCAGGGGGTTCTGCCTCACTTGAGACCAGGCTGCTACATATCATAAAGGGCGATGGGAAGCCAAAAGCCTTCCAAGGGACAAGCAGGCCCAGCGTGCCCTTCGGTGGGAGCCTGAAGGTCACGCTCTCCTCTGCTGTCTTTCGGAATTACCCAACAGCTCTGTAACACAATTTGTTTCCGATAGCTTTTCAGCATTTCACAGAGGTGTGGAAGCAAGCCCCAGGCTCGAGAGCAGGGGAAATGCCCCCGGAGAATGGGGCTGAGCAGGGGAAGCTCCTTTTTGGGCCCTTTGCAGGTCACAGCGAATGCACGTCCTGAAGTGGGGTAAAACCCTCCTGAGCAAATAAACCTGCCTCACACCATCTGTATCTGCACCTTCCCCGTCCCCCTTCTCCTCCAAGTGCCAGTAGGAAGCAAGTTCCTCTCTGAAGGGAGAGAAAAGGTTAATCAAGTCATTCCTCTCCAGCCATCACTCCCCTCACCACCACCACCACCAGGACTCTTTCTCTCCCTTCCCCTCCCCCTAATCTGTGCAGCCTCATTAAAAGAGCTTTGTAACTGTTTAGGACTGGAACAAACAATCCATCCACTTTGAGAGGGGCTCTGGGACAGGAGTTAAGGCACTTTTCGTCTTAGGCGCTGGAAATTCTTCTCAGCGGTTTCGACTTAAGCGGCGGGGGGACCCCACTGCACTCCTTCCCCATTGTACCTAGGGACGGAGATCAGTAATCCCGCGAGCTGCCAGCACGGCGCAGGCACCTCTGACACGGAGCAGGACGGACAAGAGACCCTGATTCGGGGCCGCTCGGGAATCAGAGAGCCCCTCCAAGACCCCAGCACGGGCTCCCCTTTCCCCTGCTCCCAAAGGAGCCCTCCTCCTCCTCCCAGCGTTTCCTCGGGCCCACAGCGGGTCCGGGGAAGGTGACGGGGACCCATGTGGGGTCCTGGCTGCCGGGGGGGCTCGGGAGGCAGGCTCTGGGGGCTCCCAGCGGGGCCTGGCGCAGAGGCACGCCGAAGGCAGCGCGGCTGGTGGGTGTGTGATCATTAGCAGTCTGGTCACAGGCTCGCTCTCCCTCCCTCCGTGTCTGATCGCTGCCTGTTCCCTGTGGCAATCCAGCTGGTAATAGCCAGGTCCCTCCACGGCGCGGGGTGGGAAGGGATGAGCTCCCAGACCCCCACCAGCACGGACCCGCCACCATGCCGCCGCTGAGACCCCCGGACAAAGGAAGATGGGGAAGGAGCTGCCTTCCCCTATTCTCTAGGAAACCAGGGAGTGGAAGGGGACAAAAACGCAACCTCCAGCACCCTGCAGGGCTACACGCCCGCCGGCCAACAGCTGGGAGGGTGGCACTGCAAAACCACCTCTCCCTCCCTCTCCTGCACGGCAGGGCTGGTGCCACAGGCACAGGCAGACACCTGTGGCATCAGCGCCACCCAGCCCGGGCCGGGACACAATTCCCCGCTGTCCCAGCCTCGCTGCAGGAGCAACCACACCAGCTCCCTCGGTCAGGAGCCATCCCCCTGCTGCCTTCCCCGGGGGAGCACCGTGATTCCTGCGTCCCTCCTCCCTCGCCTTCAGGAAAGCAGCCTGACACGCGCTGGCCCCTGCCTCCCCAGCTCAGCCTCTTGCCAGGGCTTTTCTTTAATTCTCTCCAGCGCGCCTGGCTAGCTAGATAGGTTTTATTCAGCACGACAGTCTGATTAACGCTGCAGATAAATATTATCACCAAAGCACAAAACCCCTGGCCCCGGCGTGAAGAGCCACGCTCTCTGCCAGTGCCCAGCGCCATCGTCAAGCTGCCTACGTGAGATCTGCTGGCATTTCCAACGCTCCCATCACCGTGGTGCCCAGGCGACCAACGGACAAATAAGGACAGAACTGAAGGACAGACCTCACTGTCTGTCCGTCTGAGCACTTATATGGCCCGCATCACCCGGCTGGCTGCACATCTCGCGATCTCTCGTGCAATTAGCCCCGCAACACTTCCCACCACCCCACATTTCCCACGCCACCCCGGAATTTTTCCCTGCTCCTTTTCCCCCCCCCCCAACCATTACCCTCTGTCTTTTCTCAGCAGCACCATCCTCCTGCCTGGGAGAAAAGGAAGCGTTGAGGCTTTCACGCGACTCCCGAGGACAGGCAGACCTGGACCCTACCTGATCCGCAGCTTCATCTCCGGGGAAGAGGAAGGGGAGGGGAGAAGGAGCAAGGGGAGGGTTGAAGGGTATTATCACTAGACACGGAGTTGTCTAACCTACAGCCAGGGAACAGACGCTGCTCTGCAAGTTTCCTGAGGAGCTGGGAGGCAAAGAAGCCCTGTTTTAGGTGACGGTGGAAAAACTCTTGGAGAGCGGAAAGAATCGTCCCACGAGCCAAATCTGGCAGGCAGGCTGCACGGAGCTGCTCCGTGACACGCTCTAATGAGAGCTCAGCCCCGGTTCCCAGCGAGCACAGCCTAACGTGCGGCTGTCACTGGAGAAAGTGGAGATATAACAGGCTAGAAACAAAGCGTGCAGTGCCTGCATGACTTCGGTTACAGCTGAAATGGCTCCTAATTGGGGAGTTACCTTCCAGCATCGGTGCTGAACAAACAATGTGAATAACTGATTAGTTTGCAAGCGACGTTTATGTTCACCACTGTGGGAGATGGTCTGGCCCGGATTCTCGCCGAGAGCTGGGGAGGAATGGCAGGGGAGAACTAGCTCCTCATAGCCCTTAAAACATAATCCACGCCGCCTAGCATACAGCCACTTTCACGTGGGCACTCTGTCTAAACCCCTTAATATCTCTTGGCAACACAGCCCTCTTGACTCTTTTGAAAACAGATTTATAGGACAGGTTTGCACAGAAAGCTGCCTTTCTTTTTCTCTCTCCTTTTTTTTTTTTTTTTAAGGAGAGAAAGACAAGGAGGAAGAGTCGGTTTCTAATCGCTCAGGAATGACAATAAGGCAAAAGTAAAAGTGACCGAGGAAGGAGAGAAGGGAAAAAACCGAGGGGTTTTGTAATCTCGGTGCAGGAGATATGCATTTTGAAAAAAAAAAAAAAAAATCAATCTGGAAGAAATTCAGGATCCATTTTGTCCTCTTTGATCTCTATTTGTTTTTCCAGCTAGGTATTTTGAACTCCGCACGGCAGCGCGAACCCGAGCCGGGACCCAAGGCAAATACCGCCGAAACACCCTTTTGCAATGTCAGGAGAGCCGAGGCCGGGAGGAGAGAGGCTGATGCAAGAAGCCAGCGCGCTGCCTCCCCTCCTTTTTCCCTTCCTTTCCCCTTCCCTCCCCTGCCCCGCGCAGCGCCGCGCAGCGCCCCGGCCCCGCGGAGCCCCACGGCGGGGGCGTGCAATGCGCGCACATGTGCGCGGCCCCTCCGCGCCTCGCCCCCTGCCTTCCCCAAGCTGCACACACGCCGGGCGAGCAGGTGGGAGCCGAGGGAAGGGGAAATTGTAAAAAAATAATAAAATATATATTTTTTTAAATTTTTTTTTCCCGCCCCCTCCCGGCGCCAGCCCGTTCCCCGCCGCGCTCGGGGGGCACAAAAGCCCCGTCCCGCTCTGCTCACCTCCGCGCTCTGCAGATAGAGCAGCGCCGCCAGCCCCCAGTGGATCCAAGTGAGCAGAAAGTTCATGGTTGCCGGCGCACGCCGCGGAGGAACGGGGCCCGCCGCGCTCCGCCTCGCCTCCGCCGCCGCCCCGCCGCCCCGCCGCGCTCTCGCCTCCTCCGTGCCCTCCTGGGGTGCCGCCGGCCGGGCGCTGCGAGGCTCTCCGGGGGCAAAGGGGTTCCTCTTCGGGGTGTCCGCCTTCACCCCTCCATACGGCGGCCCCCGCTGCTGCTGCTGCTGCTGCCGGTGGGCGCTCCGCAGGGCCGAGCGCTGGCTCCGCGGCCGCCCCGCCGCCGCCGCCCGGCCCCCGCCGCCGGGCAATCCGAGCTCCACAGCGGCCACCGGGGCGAGGAGAGGCACCCGCGCCGCGCTCGCTCTGGGCTTCGCGCACTCACTCACGCCGAAGTTTGCGGGGAAAAGTTTCAATGCATCTCTTTTCCTGCGCGCACTCCCACCCCCCCCCACCTCGCCTCTTCTTCTTCTTCTTCGCGGCGGCGGCTGCTGCTGCTGCTGCTGCCTCCCCCCGCCGGGGGGGATGGATGGAAGGGGCTGAGCCCGCCGCCGCTCGGCCGTCCACCGCTTTAAAAAATCAGAAGGGGGTGGAAAAAAAAAAAAAAAAAGAAAAAAAAAAAATCCAAACTGGCTGGAGAGGGAGGCAACCGGGGCGGAGAAGAGGGGGAAAAAAGGGGGGAGGGAGGGGGCTTTGAAGGAAAGGGAGAAAAAAAAAAAATAAAAATCCAAAGTCTAGGGGAAAAAAAAAAAAATCAATTAAACGGGAGGATAAAGCAAGGCGGCGAGCCAAGCGCAGGTCCCGGTGGCCGGGGAGGGCTTCGGTGCTCCCGCGGCGCGCTGTCCCCCGCCGGCTCGGCGGCAGCGGCGGCTCCGCGCACTCCAGCGGCGGCTCCGCGCAGCGCAGCGCAGCGCCCGCTCCACCGCCCGCTCGCCGGCGCTCTGCAACTGCTCGGCGCGGCCGCGGGGAGAGACGCTCCGCCGAAGTCCCACCCTCTCCGCCGATTCCCCTCCCTCCTTCTCCTCCCCTCGCGTCCTTGCGGCTCTGGGCTAAAAGGCCACGGGGGTAAAAGGGGGTGCGCGGCGCGCCCCCCCCCCTTCCCTCTCTCTCCTCCTCTCCAGCTCGCCCCACTCGGGATCGTGCCCCACACCCCGACCCCCAGGCGTGGTTCCCACGATGCGCTCCCAGCTTTTTCCCACCCACCCAGGCACCCACCCCACCCCAGCCCCACGGGTGCGCTTGCTGCCCCGCCGAGCGATGCGTGAGTTCGGGTCAAAATTCACCTTCTGCCGTCCGCCCGTGGGAATCGCTCCAAAGTCCAGCCGAGCCCTTTGGGGGGAGGGGGCAGCAGGGGACAAATTGCCATCCCGGCCGCCGCCCGGCCCCCCAAGCCCTTTGCTTTGCAGCTGCGGTGATTTCTTGGCACCTAGGTGTCAAAGGGGAGGGGGCGCATCCTCGGTTGGGTTTGATTTCTCTTTATCCAGCTCCAGCCCCCCTAGGTCGCAGGGCCTGCCCACACCAGCCTTCGTCTGAGGAAGGGCATTATACTGGAGATCTTGCCAGGCAGACCCCATCCCGCTTTCTGGGAAGGTATTTGCAGGGCAAAAAGGTGTCTCTGTCTCCCTGGGGTTACCACAGGCATTCCCCAACCAAGCTCCTTCACTCGTGTCACCCACGAAATTTCCTCATATGGGATATAGCAGCAACACGCGCGTGTCGACATGTATCAGTCTCCCTCCTGCTGCCATCCCCCAAGGACCTTTGGTGGTGGATGGGGTGGAAGCCCAGGCCGGCAGCTTCCTGGGGCTCGCCACAGGCTGGAGGAAGGGGAAGGGGAAGAAGACACCGAAGAAAGAAAAGGCCATATCATCATTAGAAAGCAGGTATTCCAGCACTGTGCCACAGACTCCCACTGATACAGGCAAAGCGTTGGCTCTATAGAGGCACCTGCTGGCTGAGGGGAACACACGAAACATAAAAATAAAACCGAATAAAAATCTCTGCTCTCGGCACATCTTAGACCCATTCTTCCCTTTGTTTTCAACCGGTTTGTGTCACCCCTTCGTGAGATACTGGGAGAAGTCGCCGGGGTCCCGCAGATCCTGAGGAAGGCTGGCAGGAGGCTGGCAGCTCCATCCGAGCGAGGAGCCACCCCAGCTCCCACCCAGCCCCTCGGCTGCAGGGCCGCATCCTGCACCCCTGGGCGAGGGGAGAAACCCAGCCCAGCCAAAACCCTGGGGAAGGATATAATCCCTGTCCCCTCAGGGATCACGTTTCTTCAGAGGAATGGTGGGTGTTGTTCAAACATTGCAAAAGAATCCTTTTTTTTTTTTCTTTTGCTCTCTCTCTCTTTTTTTTTTTCTTTTTAACTAATTGTTCCAAAGAGTTTCTGAAGAAACAAATATCCATCCAAAATATCTGGAGTTTCCCGTATTCTGAACGCAACTGCCAAAAACGTCCTCCCGGAGATAAGGAGGCTTCCCCCTGGGGCAAGCGAGGGGATGTTTCACCGACTGACAGCAAAGCCAGGCTGGAGGTCCTGGAGGTAGGAGCTGCTTCGAACTGTCACAGCTCACGGCGAGCAGCTCCCTCCTCACTCCAGGCCTCTGCTCTTAAGACCAGCAGAGAGCAGATAATTCACTTTTTTTTCCCGTATTTGGTAGAAGGGGCCTTTTTTTTTTTCCCTAGGGGCCTTTTTCCCTTCCCGCTAGGTGAACATTTTATGAATGAACGTAGCTCTGCTGCAAATACCTTGCAGTTTTCACACTCCTCTGGAAGGATGAAATCCCCGAGGCCGGTGCGCTTTGGAAAGTCCCCCAGAGAAACCCAACAGAAAAGATTAAACCTGCCAGTGGAGAGGGGGAGCCTTACCCCCACCGAGCTACAATGTACTGTAAATAATGTACAGAACCCAGCTTCTAAAATTACCGCTACAGGATTGCTCAGCTCGTCTTACGTTTCGTCTGGATCCTGTGATCTTCCCACCTGCCAACATCCTGCTACCAGGAGCGCGGCGCGTGTGAAGTTTGTGCAAGCGGTCATGTACTTGCACGAATTCTGGCACAAGCGGGGACACTCATGTGCCTCCCGTGTTAGAGTTACACCGTAATAAATACGGGGACGGGAGATGCTGACATTGCTACAGGATCCGCGCTGCTCGCGCTACGTACCGCTCACCAAAAAAAGCAGATCGATGCGTGTCGTGGCTACGCCGCTTCATTAGCCTTGGTGTCTTCCTCACGTCCACGGCTCCCGAGAAAGAAAGGAAGAAGGAGTCAGGGGGCAGGATTTTAAATATGGAACGCCTGAAAGCACGAGCTCCATGTTTAGGCACTGCAGCGAGTAGGACGCGTGATCTGCACAGAGGCTGAGTGACGACTGCTTTGGAGCCGTGAGGCGCGGAGAACTTGGAAGAACCTGACCATAATTTAGGACTTCGTCTTCCAGACTGAATTCAGGGGCAGCTTTGGCACCGACTTCAAAGGGCACGGGATCAAGCCCGTATTTAGGGGCTCAAAATACAAATTTAGGAGCCTAAATTTAGGCATCCATTTTTTAATACCTTGCCCCGTGCTAGTAACAGCCTGCATCTCATCCCTCTATTTGACCTGAAAAGGGAGGAATGTCAGTAACTCTTCACCGGCTCGCCTCAAGGAACCTGTGGCTGAACAGGGGAAAACCCAAGAATCACATTCCCTGCACATCGTTTATTTTTCTCCCCTCTCTCAGGTCCCCGAAATAACAGCCAGAGCAGTGTTAGTAGAGGAGCTCAGGCCCACTTTGAAATTGGAACAGGAAATGTGAGAAACGCAGGCGTTAAAAAACAAACGAAACAAAACAATTTTTTCTTAGAATTCCATCTCGTGGGCAAGTCTGGGGGGAATCTGGATTTGGATAATCTAAATTAGGAGAGAAGTCAGGAAAACAAAGAGTAATTTTGAACATCGCGGTGCCAGAGCTATTTCTTAACACGCAGCTCACTCGGTGATTTCAAGCACAGTCCCTCAGCGCTGAGCCTGGAGAACAGTGCGAGGAAGCGCAGCGTCTCGATGGGGCCGCCTGGCAGGCGTGGAAAAAAAGGCCGGGATGGAGTGGGGCGTAGAGAGAAGCAGGCAGGTGAGCAAACCCCAAAAGTCCTGGGGTATTTCAGGTGCTTTGTTCCCCGCAAGAAATCACAGCGGTGCAAACCCAGGCTATGGCCGTGGCGGCGGTGGCACGGTCACAAGGTAGCAGATCACTTAACCCCACAATCCACGATATTGTGATGATTTTTGCATCGTTCCCACGGACAGAGAAGGGAGCAGCTGTAGGTATAACAAAAGGTGGCTCCTCGGAGATGCTTTGCCAACGCTCCCTCTGCTGTGGTATAAATAGAATACATGCAGCGGGCACGGGCAGAGCGCGAGGCTTGCGCTTGCAAGCATTAGAGATGCCCATGCACCACCCACTGGCAGTTTCACTTGCCTCTGTCACTCAGGAGTTTGTCCAGAAAGCTTCAGCTCCTGAAAAGACAAAAACACTCAAGGAGCAGCAGCATCCCTCAGATTATTACCCCCCCGGTTGATTCTGGACACCAGGTGCTTCTCCCGCGGTCTATAATTGCAGCAGGTTGCGAGGAGTTGCTCCCCTTTCCTCACTCTCCAGCTGATCTCCATCACTGGATCTTCATCTAACCCTTTTGCAGCAAGCAGCAGAGGCAGTGACAAGCGGAGGAAACAGGACAGGTTGTCAGCTATCAGCAGGATTGTTTTAATATCTACGGAGAGATCAAGGGGCTGAAACAGCTTTTTTCCTGCCCGGACTACACGTCATGTCAGCCTAAGGGTGCAGACATCCTGACCCCGACTTATGTGTCCCCAGCTAATAGGGCCGGTAGGAATATGCACACGGTTACTGTGATAGTACTTCACCTTACACTTACATCACAGTCCCGGGAGAAACATCCGATGGGGCAGCCTTACATATTAAATCATTTCCTGGAGGGGAGAATTCATTTGGGCTCATTTATTATCATTTGTCCCGGAGCTCTTACTTTGCACTCCCAGCGTTGGGAGCGGGTGTTTCTCATGGATAGGGGTCAAAGAGCCAAAGGCTGTTTTCAGAAAAGCTCTTCTGCTGTTTTAGGTTGGTCGTTTGATGTTTGTCCCAGGTGCTGGACACGGGTTGCTTGGTGAAGAAGGTGTGATTCAGACTCAGACTTCCACATGTTGGTAATTATTAAGGAAAAATAAAACTAAATTCAAGCGTGCCCATCACTCCCCACAAATCAAGAGGCCGTTAATGATATTGACTTGAGCAATAAATAAACCAATACAACAATCAAATCAGAATCACACCAGTGATGCATCAAATGAGTGATGGAGGGACACGTAAGATGGACAGTCAGCACGTGCAGTCCTCTGCAAGAACATCTAAATGGGTCTCCAGTCCAGAGAACCCCTCAAAATATCTATTCTATGTGCCACGAGTCACAAAGTCCCTCCCAGCACCTCACACCACTCTTCAGAGCCGTACCAAAAGCCAAACACCACAAATGTGATGTGCCACAAAAAGAGAGAAGAGCACAAGGTTCTCCCCAAAGGCCAGCAGCAGCAGGCTGTGGTTTGCACCCGTGCCCCACACGACTGTCAGAAGTTGTCAGTGCTCCACATCAAAGAGGAAGATAGCAAACCCCGATCAGTGGTATCTACATGATCATGGAGAAACTCCCTCCTGCCCACAGATGTGACAGTCAGATTAAATCCTGAGGCCAGAGGAACAGGAGCGTGGATATGCCTTGTGATAAATCACACCTTTGCTCAGGCCCCTCACAAGTGCTCCCTTAGAAGGAAGAAGCAAGAGTAGAAACCCAGGAACCTCCTTTTTTCTTCAGAGACCCAAGTACCCCACCCAACAACAGGGGAAGGTTTGGGGGTTATTTCTTCCTTAGGGTGAAAAGCTGAGGAAATCTACCAGCCAGCTGTCTGGGGTTCCCCATCCCAGGG